GCTCTTCTAGAAACGGCATTCGACGAATCGCGTTGACCGGGGACCAACTGTTCGAAATGCGGAAACTTCGTTTCCGTGATCCGTCTAGGTAACGGGGATTCGTATCGCAGCTTACGGAATGATCTCGATGGATCCGTGTCGATTACGTTACGAACAGTCAGAATGGATGGGGGTTGAAAGGAAAAGGAATTTACCGGTAAGTGATAGTAGCTGTGCAGCGTGCTCCTGTGCTCCTGTGCTCCTGTGCTCCTGTGCTCCTGTGTTCCTGTGTTCCTGTGCTCCTGCTGCAACACTGGCGCCACTGGCGGCGTCGGAAGCGGAATTACGACTGCGCTTCGGTACTACTACTGCTGCACTCGCAGAAGCGGCAGCTTAAAGTTTCGCGGCAAACAATTCCGTTCGCATAACTGGCTTTGTGCGATTTTTTTTGTAACAGTTCTCATATTGGGTACACCGCTGAAATCAGAGTTTAAGCATATAAACTGTTTCATAATAATGTGAAACCCACATGGAACAAAAAACTAGACAAGCATAAGCAAGTCAAGGGCAGGAAGGCTGGCAAGCCAGCCAAAGAACAAAACCCTTGGTGATTTTCCAGCATTCCTGCCGCTGATGCCTGCAGACCCAATAATACTTCAACAAAACCCCTCCCAAAGCTATGAAATTAACCATCCACCCATACCCATCCTCCGAGGTATGGATAATAGAATCTCCTCCGAGGTATGGATAATTTTTCGTTTTTGAAGACCCGGAGGAAACAGAATTCGCGCTCCTGAGGACCTTGAAAAATCAGGATTCCTTGGAGAAATCCCCTTTTTTTCAGGATAACGCCGAAGTTCAAATCTGAAATCCAGAATGTTTTTACGGATCGCCCTGCACATCAGAAGAAGTTTGGGCAACCCGAATTGTCACATACTTGAGGGACTTTGGAGTATCAAATCCGGAGAGGCAAGAGCAAGTGAGTCCAACCAACAGACCAAACTGAAACATCCACACGCAGCAGTTGAAACAATCATGACATGACACACTTGCCGCCCGCTACTCCACCAACACCACACCACCACACCAAGCCTCATTCGACACTTCACTCCAGCTAGCCTGCAAACTACAGAAAGTCCTGGCGAAAGAAATGCCTACGTACGAACGTTCAAGAAAAGAGCAGCCTAACAGTGGGATAGTAGGGGGGCTAAGAGGGAGGAAGAAACAAATTGCCGTGCTAGAGCTTCAAGAATCAGATGCCGCAAGTCTTTTTGCCCCGCCCTAAATCTCAGCCATCGTTTGAAGTCCCACCTGTCCCATTGAAACCATCAAGGGTGGGCCTACTCCTGCGCATTGACATGAAAACAGCATGCACCTCCATCCAGTCCACATCGAAATCAAGCATCTTCACAGCCATAAGGTCCCCCAGGCGCACGTCAGAAAGACAAGTGCGATCCCAACTCTTGGTTATGTTTTGCCTAGAAAACCCCCGCTCACACTTGACGGTGCTTAGCGGGAGCACGTCGACAGCGCGCCATAGCTTCATGATGTTCGGTAGTACACGCCCCAGTCCTCGTTGGCGAGCATATTGGCCAGGCTTTGCTGGAAACTCTGGCCAATGTACCGCCTCTCCAAAACTGCAGTGAAGAAGCGGATCTCGATCCTTGCCTCTTGCAAATCGAATCCTGCAAAACTCAAACTTCAACGTTTCAGCATTGCAAGTTGTGACACAACATGTCAGCCACAAATGCATTATTAACTTATTACTAACCAGGGAGGCAGCCATGAAACAAGTCCGCTAGCTGCTGCAGCCAAACGTCGAATGAAGTCTCTCGCTCTCCTGCCCTCGGCAGGTACTCACGAGGGCGGAAAAAGCGCGCCCCATCAAGGTTGCGAATGTCACCAAGGCGGCGGTTGAGAGCTGCAATGAGCCGTCTCGCATACTCAGCACAAAGCTTCTCGCAAGAAGCTTGATCAGTGCCATAGGTGCCGCCAATTGAGCGCTCATGCAGGATGATGGTGCGGGTCGTGGGCGAACCATCTGCAGCAAAGCCCTCAATCACCATCTCGCGACACTCTGCAGGACCGTGCTTGGAGAGGAAAGGGGACAGCCGAGGGCTAACACCAGCGCCAAACTGGTTGTTAGGCTCGACGTAGCGTTGTGCTAGCTGGATGCACACATCCTCCAGCCGCCACTTGACACCCATGATTTCAACCTGAGGATGGAATATATGGAGAAGATTAGGTGAAGAAATGAAGAATGAAAAAAGTAAGAACGATAAACAACCGCAATCATCCCACCTGCCTCTCCTGGAAGTGCAGGTTAAGGGTGTTCAGCATGACAAGCACGTCTGCCATGAAGAAGAGCATAAACAAGAACTTGAAAGAGCTTCCTGTTTTGAGCAGGCTGTGATCCTCCTCGTTCCACAGCCACAGAAGAGCGGGCAGCACGTCGCAAAACCTGTTGATGGCTTCTCCTCGGGATAGCCACCGCATGTTGTACATTCCCTGAACCTCAAGCTGGGTGCGGAGAATCTCCTGCTGCAAGCGGAGGAAATTCTGGCGCCTTACATGAGACCTTCCCAGAATTTCAGCAGTGCTCCTAACTTGTGTGTCGATCGGGTTGAAGTCAGGCATCCGGGATGCTGCATCCTTGGCAGCTAGTGCCTCCCTGTGAAGTGTAGAAAACAATGTAATGAGACATTAAATGAGGCTTCCAATGACTTTCAAATACATATAGGTTGTAAGTGGAAAGGCTATTAAGTGCTCCTATTTCCAGCAAGTATAGTATTAGCTTTTGGTCACCTGTGGGCGATGCAATGTGTTGAAACAAGCCATGGGCAGGTTTGTCGCAAGCGTGCCACCAGCCCCGCCTGCTGTCCGGTCATCACCGAAGCCCCGTCGGTGGAGATCCCGACCAGCTTGTCTAGCGGGATGCTGCATGACTCCAAGAAGGATGTGAGAGCCGTAAGGAGGGACTCGGCATCTGCCCTCTCCACTGACAGCAAAGCGAGAAACTGTGTGACAACATGTCAGTCCTCTGATACGACATGTAAATAATCATGTGTTTACCGTGCGCACGGTCCGTGGACTCATCAAGAGAAAGCCCATACCATGGACTCTCCCTGATGTAGCGCAATTGCTTGTCCTGAAGATGCTGTGCCAACACTGTAGTGAACTCATTCATGGCATACCTGCCATGTACACATCAGACGCAAGAGGTGTAAACCTGCGTGTTAAGTTTACGATAAAAAAAATGGCACAACAAACAAGGACATGCTTCACTCATTACAGCAGCAAAACAACACAAGGGTGCGGCAAAAAGTAGCAACTCACTGGGAAAAATAGCGGCCGTAGGATTCTGAGCCAGCCATGTCAGGAATGCCCTCGTCCACCAAGAAGCGGACAAGAGTTGGATACAGCAGGATCGGTACATCATTGCGGCACACAAAGTAAGCGGCATGGATGCAGCGAACAATGTGTCGTTTCACAGCATCGGAGTCCGCGTACTGAGTCATGCGTCTCTGATTTCGCTCCGTGCTATCTGCCGTGTTCTTCCGTGAAACAGCCAACTGATGACCACGTGAACGCTGGTGGGAGCGGATGCTAGTCTTCTGGAAGTCCCCAGCGACGAGACCATTACTGCCATACCGTGTGTGCCCCCCGTCGTCACCATGCTCCAAGAAAATGGTGCATTTCAAGCCATACTGGTGCGAAGGTTTGTGGTACTCGAGGCGCAGCCACTCAAAGTGGTCCCGCCATTCACGGCGGTAATGGCGGGCAATGAGTCGCTCTGCTGCAGGAATGGGATCGCCTTCGTTATCAACGGGAGCATCATCCTCCGTGGGCTCAGGGACAGTGGTGCGGCGGCGCCTAGGCTCAGGAGGAGGTGCGAATGGAAGGCGTCACAAAAATGTGGATCTCTCCTATATTGTAGGTATAGTTGTTCGTATAGCAAGTCTACTCCGTAGCAGACGTACCTATGCTGTACCTACCGTATACCTACTCCGTATTTCTGATCCTGGTATTTTGGGATGGGATGGTCTGACGAGACCTTCTTCTAGTACCAGCCTGGGAAACAGCGGCTTCATCCTCACTAGCAGATTCTGGCTCAAGAACGCCCTCCGTGAGGTTGAGAGGTTCAGTTGCTTCATCATCATCAGACATAACCTCGACTGTTGGCTGAGCTGAGGGCTCTTCACTGCCTATGTCCTTGGGGTCATCAGCGACATACTGCAAGGGGACAATGACGGGGTCTGCTGCAGGGGTGGTATTGTCAGCCATGAGAGGCTGCCTTCTCTCTACAGTTAGCTAACTTGAGACTTTGCTGTGCCTTTTCAAGCTGAAAGCCACCTTGCCCATGCCTAGGTTAGAGTGCACATAGCCTAACAAACCACTTCTCGCGTTGAGGCACCGTGCGGGAAAGGGTGTTGAAAGAGCGATGCGGGCAATGCGCGCTCTCATGTTTGAGCAGGGAGCAGCGCAAAGTTGGCTGGCATTGTGGCGAAATATGATCACATCACGATCAAGTGCAACGGTGCATCGCGCTGCTTCAAATTACCGTTATGGCTTGTCACGAACGTGACTGAGCAGAATTCGCCAAAGTGTGTGTGTGTGTGTTATGCGACATACTAGAATTGCGTTGCGTTGCGACAAACCGCAGCAGGGAGGGATGGAGGGAAGGATGAATGACAGAATTCGCCAAGTGTGCTTTCGCGCGTCAGATTCGTGGCAGGAGCAGCGGAGTTTGAGAGGGCAAAGCATGAGAGTGCGCGCCACATTCTGTCATGTAGTTGTGCAGCTTGTTAGTCGCAGTCTGTGATTGGTCTGACCGCCTTGAACTTTGCGCCTTCCATGAGTCGCTCATCAGATTGCATTGCGTTGCGTTGCGTGGCACTGAAGCGTGAGAATTCGGCCAAGGGCGCGAAAGATGGGGCCGGGGCGGGGGGGGGGGGAGGGGGGGGGTGGGGGTGTCGAGGTCGACTGCTCCAATTCCGGCATGGGTGATTTTCCAGACTACTCGGATGGCCAGGAGAAATTTTCGCGGAACGCGGATGGCTCATGTGGACTCCCAAAATCGTCCGGAATCATTCAGGAGGATTTCCAGACCGAAACCCTCAAAATCCGGATTCCAGGTGAAAACATCCGGAATGTACCTGACATTCCGGATGTTTACCCTTGACGTCACGGAAAGTAATTGTCCGAAAACTGTCCGGGAACAAACAACCCTGGCAGAAATGGGTGTGCTTCGGGAATGGCCATTCGGACAGTTTTCCGAATGAAGGTATGACTCATCCCGGACAGTTTTCGGACAGTTTTCGTGCACACTCGGGAAACCCAAACGTCGGTAAACAGTCCCAAAAATGCCTGTAACCTGCCCAAATTGGCCCAGTGCATTACGGCGTACAGTTCTGTAGCCATGGTAATCGTTTTCAGAACGTTGTATCATATAGATATAATGATTTCAACCCTACCAAACAATGCAACCAATAAATAAAACACACAAACCACAATCATATCCACTGATCCCCAAAGACAACACCAACCAGAACCAACCCCATAACAGACACCGCCACCCCATCGGTTTAAACAATACTAACACACGCGATGGCCACATGACACTACGGAAGCTTCCGGGCCACGCCCGCCGCTGCTGGCCGAGCGGAACCAGCTCCCGCCACCGAGACAGGCTTGAGCGCAGAGAAGGCGCTCTCATGGACGTAGAGGCCGTAATCACCCCACTTGAAGGCGCTCCATCGCCTCTCATACCCCCTCTCCTCAACCCTCTGGCTACGAAGGAATGAGTCCACTGTCGCAGTCACGAGCTCTGCAAGTCCAGCCAGGGCTGCTGCATTCTTTTTTGGCGACTTCGATAGGTGCATGCGATCATCCTTGAACCAGCGCATGCCCCAGTCAACCTGCATGCGCGTGGTCAACATTTGGAGAAGAGGAGGCACGGTGGTTAGGGGGAAAGGGTTTAAAAAGTTTAAAAACCAGCGAGCCAGGATACTTGGATCCCTGGACCAACCGCCCATCAGCCATAAACAGGCAACAGCCCATAAACACCCTGCCGGAAAGGTGCGCAATGGTAACTCACCGACAGCAACACCCATGCCATGTGGCATGGGTGCAGAACGAGCTTCCCCTCGACCTCCCAATCACCAAACGCGGCAACCGCGGCTTGAAAAAAGACGCGCCCCGCGAGCGGCCGCGGGTCATTGCGCCTGCTAGACCATGTGCTCACCAACTCCCCTCGGTGACGCTCTGCCAGGAATGTATGCCCAGTGAGAGACGAAAGGGTCGCAGGAAAGCCCTTAGGGGGGGGGGGGGGGAGGTGTGTTTTAGGGGGGGGGGGGGAAGGTGTGGTTTAGGGTGGGAGGGAGGGCAGGAGAGCCCAGAGCACCCTCACATAGGGCTGACAATGTGCATGATAGCTTGGACCATGGAGCGCGTGGATACTAAAGAACAGTTCAAGCGGCCACATAATGCTAAGGCCCGTACATAATTGGAGGGAAGGGAGACGAACACGCCCCACATGGTCGAAACGAACGAGTGCAGCCATGTGGGCGGAGGGTGTGTGACATGGGATCAGCGGATAAGAGGTGGTGGGTGTGTGAGGACAGCGGCGAGGAGAAAAAGTGGAGAATGCGGCAGTGGATATGGGGACAGGGAAAATCAGGGCATGGGAGTTTAGGGCAGGGGAAAAGAGGGGGTTGCAGCTTGAGACCGGGGGGGATGAGGGTGAGGAGTATGCTGGTACGGCTCACGAGGGTGGGCGACAAGAGACTGGACACGACGATAGTGGATATGAATGAAACACGGGATGTGATGGCCCGAAAAAAAACATGCACAACGGAATGAATGGCTTGCGAGGAGCACAATCAAAGGGCACTGCGGATGTACACTACGGCATTCGTTGTACTGTGCACAGGCACAGGCACATGCACAGTCCTACAGGCGCTCCACATGAAAAGGCATTGTGGTTCTGCTTATAGCAGGACCAGCCACGTGTTCGTGGGAAATGCGGGCGGTACTTACATGGGCGAGGGTCGGGAGTGTGTGGGAGGAGTGAGGGCACAATGCGGCCCCACAACCAGGGGAGAGAAAAAGGGACTAGGAGCATGAGATCTTACTCGGTGCAAAAAGGTTCCACAGTTGCTTCTTGCGCCGGGGAAGAATGTGACGCGCCGTCGCCGGTGCGTCAGCGGCGATCACTTGCATCCACACAAGCACCACATGCCTTGCCCGTGTGGACGTCTCGTTCCGGAAATGCGACCATACGCCGTTGAGCCGGGATGAGTAATCTAGAGATTTCATCTTCAACTTATACTCCATCGTCGAGAACACATGCGTCTCCATGAGCACAACCTTGGCCCCAAACTTCCGAGAGGTGAGCCCAGGGAAGAATTTTACGCCATCGTGGGGCACGTCCCGAACCATCCGCTCCAAAGATTCCTTATAATAGCCCTGGGGGGGTGCATGACAACAATCACAACCCATGCGACACATAGGGGCCCCGCGTCTAGGCTCAGTCGGCTCGACCATCTCGACGCGCCCCGCTGGGGTCACTGGCAGCACTGCAGAGGTGGAAGGAGGGATGAAAGGGGAGCGGGTTTTATGGGAGCACCACATCCAGTCACCATAACTGCGACTGCGGGGGACGACACCGTGGGTAAGCTAACCGTCACAAAGCAAAACGGCCTCTGCTGGCCGCGCCTACCCGCGAGGGGGCGTTGTGGCAGGTCTGGTCAGCCGGTTCCGGTATTGGGCCACCTGGCTAGGGGCCGTTGGGCAGAAAAACAGAGAGATGGGAAGTCACCATGTCACGAGCGAACAATAGTGAGCGTGCTGGGCTGTCGAGACCTGCAAACAGCGGGGGTGGAAGGAGGAATGGACAGGCACGGTGGTGAAATGACAACAGCTCCCCAAAAAACCAGGCCTGCGACACCTTGCAACGACAACGAGGGGGCAGCATACCTGTGACCTGGCCTTACGGCGCAGCTATAAGGGTGGGGAGAGAGGGAGTGAGGGAGCAGCACTTCAGAAAATGGGAAATCAGCCAGGGAGAGCGCAAGGGGAAAAACGGACAGACCATAGTTGAGCAGGCCTGGTCAGCCGCCTCCGGTATAGGGCCACATTGCGAGGGGGCTTTGGGCAGCAAATCAGAGAGATGGGAACGCACCATGTCACGAGAGGACAGTAGGGAGGGTTCTGGGCTGTCGAGACCTGCAAACAGCGCGGGTGGAAGGAGGTATTGACAGGCACGGCGGTTGAAATGACAACAGCTCCCCAACTCACCAGGCCTGCGACACCTTGCAACGCCAACGTGGGGGCAGCATACCTGTGAGCTGGCCTAATGGCGCAGCTATAAGGGTGGGGAGGGAGGGAGTGAGGGAGCAGCACTTCAGAAAATGGGAACTAAGCCAGAGAGAGGGAAAGGGGAAAAAAGGGACACACCATAGTTGAGCAGGCCTGGTCAGCCGCCTCCGGTATAGGGCCACCTGGCCTGGGGGCGTTGGGCAGCAAAACAGAGATATGGGAACGCACCATGTCACGAGAAGACAGTAGGGAGGGTTCTGGGCTGTCGAGACCTGCAAACAGCGCGGGTGGAAGGAGGTATGGACAGGCACGGCGGTTGAAATGACAACGGCTCCCCAACTCACCAGGCCTGCGACACCTTGCAACGCCAACGTGGGGGCAGCATACCTGTGAGCTGGCCCAACGGCGCAGCTATAAGGGTGGGGAGAGAGGGAGTGAGGGAGCAGCACTTCCGAAAATGGGAAATCAGCCAGGGAGAGCGCAAGGGGAAAAACGGACAGACCATAGTTGAGCAGGCCTGGTCAGCCGCCTCCGGTATAGGGCCACGTTGCGAGGGGGCATTGGGCAGCAAATCAGAGAAATGGGAACGCACCATGTCACGAGAGGACAGTAGCGAGGGTTCTGGGCTGTCGAGACCTGCAAACAGCGCGGGTGGAAGGAGGAATGGACAGGCACGGCGGTTGAAATGACAACGGCTCCCCAACTCACCAGGCCTGCGACACCTTGCAACGCCAACGTGGGGGCAGCATACCTGTGAGCTGGCCTAACGGCGCAGCTATAAGGGTGGGGAGGGAGGGAGTGAGGGAGCAGCACTTCAGAAAATGGGAACTAAGCCAGAGAGAGGGAAAGGGGAAAAAACGGACAGACCATAGTTGAGCAGGCCTGGTCAGCCGCCTCCGGTATAGGGCCACCTGGCGAGGGGGCGTTGGGCAGCAAAACAGAGAGATGGGAACGCACCATGTCACGAGAGGACAGTAGGGAGGGTTCTGGGCTGTCGAGACCTGCAAACAGCGGGGGTGGAAGGAGGAATGGACAGGCACGGCGGTTGAAATGACAACGGCTCCCCAACTCACCAGGCCTGCGACACCTTGCAACGCCAACGTGGGGGCAGCATACCTGTGAGCTGGCGTACCGTCGCAGCTATAAGGGTGGGGAGAGAGGGAGTGAGGGAGCAGCACTTCAGAAAATGGGAAATCAGCCAGGGAGAGGGAAAGGGGGAAAACGGACAGACCATAATTGAGCAGGCCTGGTCAGCCGCCTCCGGTATAGGGCCACCTTGCGAGGGGGCGTTGGGCAGCAAAACAGAGAGATGGGCACGCATCATGTCACGAGAGGACAGTAGGGAGGGTTCTGGGCAGTCGAGACCTGCAAACAGCGCGGGTGGAAGGAGGAATGGACAGGCACGGCGGTTGAAATGACAACGGCTCCCCAACTCACCAGGCCTGCGACACCTTGCAACGCCAACGTGGGGGCAGCATACCTGTGAGCTGGCCTACCGTCGCAGCTATAAGGGTGGGGAGAGAGGGAGTGAGGGAGCAGCACCTCAGAAAATGGGAACTAAGCCAGGGAGAGGGAAAGGCGAAAAAAGGGACAGACCATAGTTGAGCAGGCCTGGTCAGCCGCCTCCGGTATAGGGCCACCTGGCCTGGGGGCGTTGGGCAGCAAAACAGAGATATGGGAACGCACCATGTCACGAGAGGACAGTAGGGAGGGTTCTGGGCTGTCGAGACCTGCAAACAGCGCGGGTGGAAGGAGGTATGGACAGGCACGGCGGTTGAAATGACAACAGCGGACATACTCACCAGGCCTGCGACACCTTGCAACGCCAACGTGGGGGCAGCATACCTGTGAGAAGGCCATGGACAACCCAGTTATACGCACGGGGAGTGAGGGATAGAGGGAGAAGGCCCCTGGAAACGGCCAGTACTGCGTTGAGGTAAGGACGGGATGAACGGGATGGGTGGTGTTACGGTTACAACACCAACACATCCACCAGGATGAGGCCGGGAGTAGCAAACAAATGGCCACTGGGCCAACAACATTGACACGTATGGGTGAGTATGAAAGGCCGTCACACGAACTTACCCCCATTTCGGTTGCGTCTGGAATTCCCACAAACCGGCCATCGGGCCCAGTCGGCAGCGCCCCAACCACCCTGACCGGCTTCTCTCCCGACGCGCCAGCCGTTGCCTGAGCCGCCTCTCCCCGTACACCTTTGGCAACGTGGCATGCTGGCACTCGTGCGAACGCGTCGGGTGATGCATCGTCAGCATCGGAGCCGTCGTGCTTGTCGCTTGCATCTCGTGGCTTTTCGGCATCCAGCCCGTCGTGAGCAGCCCCGCACCCGACAGGAGCTGCGTGAACGGGTGTGGATGGGAGGGGGGGTTTCGCGGCGGGGCAGACGGGCGTCGGGCGAGTGACGGCGCCATGCCGGGCAGAATCGGCGGAGACGTCCGGGGCCATGCCCTGGAATGCCCAACCACCTGCCAGGCCTGTGTTGGGCACCGCGTGACCATGCTCATGGTCATGTCCGCCATTGTCGCCCGTGTTGCCAGCAGCCATGACACTCTTTTCATACCGCTCGAGCCGCGCGAAAAGCTCTCTCAGGGTCACTCCGCCGGCAAGAGCGTTGCCGTGTGACTCAGCCATATGGCGCAGCTCGATGCCGGCCTGCTTCGCCTCATCCCTCTGTACTTGCATAGACGGCACCTCGCTGGTGGGCACGGCAGCGCGGGTGTTTGCCCCCGTGGGAGCCAATGACCCATTGCAAGCCGGGTGGCTTGCGGCGCCCAGCGTCGAAACCCCATGTTCCGCCCCGTCAGGTGAAGTGTTCGCGAGCATTCTGAGCCCACCGTACTGTAGCGCACGGAGCAGACGTCGCCCACCATCAGGTTCCTCAAAAACGCGTTTCCTCTCCTGCTCCGCTCTCGCGGGTGTTGAGACACCACCACCAGTGCTTGGCGACCTGCCAGCAAGGCCACTGCGTGTTGGTGACGCTAACGCTGCAGCCGCCCGAGCTGTGCCGTCTGCGACGCCTTCGCGCTGCATGGAGCCTGGAGTGTCGGCCTCTGGATCGCCGGCGTAAAAGTCTTCGACCCGCTTCTCGGTGAAGTCGTTGTCACCGACGTGTGGGGTCTCGTCGGCATCCTCCTCCACCCGCAAGTCGTAAATGTTGACCTTGTCATTGGCGGCATCATTCCCAAGAAGTCGCGCGGTGACCACCGGCGGACGACCGTCGCTTCTCCGCCTCGCCCCATCCGTCCTACCAGCTGCAACACCCTTTGCCGCCCCTGTCGCTGACCCTCGCCCCCCACCGCGCTTCACGGGCTGGCGCTGTTTATCCTGGGGGAGCACCTCTTCAACGGCATCTGCTGCGGCTTTGGCGTTCAGCCACACAGCTTGATGCTGGAAGTCGTCAAGGTCTGCTGGAAAACCCCGGCCGATGGTGTCTCCCGCACTTCCAGCCATCGTGGCCTCCCCTTGACCGTTTGGGGACTCCTGCGGGTTGTTGTCCGAGACGCTCTCAACACTCTTGCATGCACCAGACCCTGCGGCATCCGTATGGCCCAAAATGCATGCAAACAGGACTACGTTAGCTCGCTGGGCGTGTCTCGGAGCAAACAATGGTGCGTCATGCTGAGGTAAGCCACTGGACTCGCGCATAACAGACTCACCGCTCTTCCACGCACCCGTGCTAGCTTGAGGAAGCGCTCCGAACTCTGCCAGCTTCTTGACGCGTGGCGCGGGCGTGGTCAGTGCTGAACCCAGCCGCACAGCCGTGGCGAGGGTGAGTCCGTACGGTAAACCAATCGGGTGTGACGTGTTTGCCGGTGCTTTGGCGACGCCACTGTGCAGGTGCGAAGCAGGAGATGGGTGATATTCTCGGTATTCGGGTAACAGAGCGAGTAGTTTATTCACACCCTTCAGGTACACCGCCTTGGTTGGCCTTGGGCTGTTACGGCTAGAAGCCTGGTAGACATTCCCATCCGTCCATGCTGAGGGCCTCCTATCCTGTGGTGGCCGTGAGGATGCAATGCTACCCATACCGGAAACTTGGACTCTATTGAAATGCACAACAGCCTCCCTCTCCTCGTCCTATTGTGGTGACATTCCTCTGACCATCGCTTCGCTGCGTACCACTTGCCTCCGCGTCAACCTGTTGCCCATGAAGCTAGGCGCTTTCAAGAAGTTCGCCAGGATACGCCAACCGCCGTGCTTCGGACGCCCTCGAGTGACACATATTTCACAACAGCGGCAAGATACTCCGCTTCTGAGCATCGGGCAATGATGCAAATCATGCCCCTTATCATCCACCTTCCAAGACGGGCGGTGGTGGCTGAGGCTGTAATCGCATTTGTGTGCTGGTACAAGTCTCTGTTCCATGTGGAATACCACACAGACGCCACGCTGGACGCGGCGGAGGCGGAAACCCACAGGTAACTACCAGTCGCCACACGCCCTCACCCTTTCATTCTCTCCTTTACTATGCAGCCCTCATATCCCCCTTTTGGCCTGCCGTTGCCCTTGTTAGCACCATTGTTGAGGCACACCATTGTTGTATCGGTGTTTGTTTTGTCGTACATGGATGCGCCTGTGCATCGGTTAGCTCTTGTGGGCCATGCTGGCGGCGCCACTGAATCTCTCATCACCCTGTTTGTACTCATTGTTCCCATGTGCTGTGGCCTTCACGATTACCATTGGCAGGGTTGTGGCCCTCTTGACGATGGCATTCCCAAATCATTCGTCCCTTTGGCAGATCATCAAAGTCCACATGCTAACCCACATAATTCCTACCATTCGAATGCATGGCCTAACCAAGGAATACAACTCTAATCTGTACGAGCATTCCCACAAAAACACTGTCAAACGTCCCGCGCGCAACACCAACTGGGTGAACGTAACAGGACAGATCATCCGTCGCCATGTGAAGATGGCCACCCTGAAGGAGCTTACCCGCGAAGTGGGTGGCGATCCTTCGTACGAGACTGCTATGAGGCAGGTAAGTTGGTTTGGTGTTGTCAAATATGTGCAGAGTGTGCATACATGCTGTGGTCTCGTCTACGTGCTATTTGGGTGGTGGGTGTGTGGTACCCTAAACCACTCGTGACATTATCCCTCCCTTTTCTTGTATTGCCTCTGCACAGGCTACGCTGCTAAACCGGCGAGTTTTGACACGCACCAGTCGGCGCATGGATGTCGGGGACCCGCACGACACAATCCTTGGGGAATACACCCAGCAGCTTGGCCCTGCACTGATGAGCAGATTCATTGGCGCCCTGCGGCGCGCGCACATCGCATCCAACAGCATCCAGGTATGCCTCTGCCCCACGTTTCACCCAGCCAAGGGCTTTGATTGACGGGCTGTGTTTTTTATCGCCCGTGTACGACTGTCACGTGGATGCACTTCTCTGGCCTCACCACTAGACACGCGTCCAGGTTTGTGGCCTCAACCTTCCTTCTTCCCCTATGCCCCCGACATTGGCTGCGAAGCCGTTGACTGCGCCAGCCGTCCCTTGGCTGCATAGACTATGACTGCAAGAGCCATTCGTTGGCTGCCCTAATCCCTAGACAGCATCAGGCATCTGTTCGCCGCACGGTCCCTGACCGTATGTGCCACACCATTGGCTGCACTCAACTTGACAGCTGCAGCCCTCCCTTTTCTGCGCTACTTTTGACAGCATCAGCAACACCTTGGTTGCCTTTTCCTCGAGCGGCAGAGCTGCTCCCTTGCTTGTGCTTCTTTTGGTTGTGCAACAACAGCCATCACTTGGTGGTAAGGCCTCTGACAGCAACAGCAATCCCTTGGCTGATGTGCCCTTGGAAGCATCTGTAATTGACAGGTGGCACTGCATTTGGCAGCCTCAGCCATCCCTTGGGTGCAATGCATTTGTCTGCAGCAGCCATGCGTTGGGTCCCCCCCTGTCCCCCAAACCCCCCCCCCCCCCCCCCCCCCCCTAGTCAAGAGCTGGATGTGGCTTTTCCTGGGACGAGCTCCGAATGGGTTGGTTGAAGTCTGCTTCGGGGGCTTCCCGCCGTTGATCACGTTTGACGTGGTGGTGCGAAACCAGGGCGGGGCAGAATGGGGTGGTATCCTAAAGCCCTCCCGGCCATATATATTCTCCTCTGTCCACACCCACCCGCATGGATTATTGGCTGCAGGTTCACACATCGCTCACCATTCCCCCCCATGACCGCATGGAATGGTCGGCACGCAGGCAGTTTATTAAGGCTTCTCCAAAACAGAAGTGGTTCTCGCATATCCGGATTGATGCTGCCGGCACGGAGTGGTGGGGGCGAGCTCTGGTGTTGTTCAAAGCGTTACACGAGCGTGGGCATGAGGTGCAGCGTGCTTTCATCCAGTACTATTCTGCTGCTCGTGGACCCTGCCCAGACACAGGGTGCACCCGCCTTCTTCCAACGTCTGGCCGAGATGCAGTGGGTGTCATCGATGTTGATTCGTTTCTGGCTTGTGCGCACATTGTTCCGTCGTTCACAGCCCGACCGTACCGCCTGGTCAATCGATTTTTGTTCTAGCTTGTCTCAGGGTCTTGTTTTTCACACACTGGCCGATGCTATGTAACGTAACCGAACTCCAATCGATGCCCCATCACTTCTTCCGCTCATGTTTACAGCCATGTTGTTTCCAACATGTGGCAGCCTCTGCGTTGATCTTTGATTTTCCCTCTTTTGTGTTTAGCAGTTTTTATTTCTTTTGCAAATTTTCCGTACAGTTGTAACACAATATGTCGTTCATGTGCGCGTCCCCGCTCGCTACGCGCGCTACGGGCCGCGACATTGCTTTGTGCAGTAGTATAATCGACGGCTGTACGAATTTTGGATCGAATTTGGATTGCGGACCGTTAGATCAGTTACCTAGGGCGAAAACTGTCCGGAAACTGGCGCACCCACCTGGCAGGTCGGATTGTTCCGCGCCCGAAATATGTCAGTTTCGGGACATTGGTCCTGAGCACTGCATCTGGGCGGGGATTGGGGTCGTTCCCGCCATGTTTCAGGACACTTTTCGGGCTGCTTAATTTCGGGACAGTTTTGGGCCATTCACATTTTGGTGACGGAACCGAGAGCCCTGCTGAGGAGTCCTCACAGACAGCAAGCAGGCAGACACATTTCCTGCAACAGCATCTCCATCTAGCAGCAAGGAAGAAAGTCAGCAGCAATATGGGAGGCATAGCGGCATCACCAGATCAAGCAGCGGCGGGCATTTTGACCCCCATGAGCTGCCCGCCCCACGCCACGCCAGCAGCAGTGGCAGTGGCAAGGACGGCATACCCACTCACAGTCGCGTTCACTCCGCCACTGCCTCCGCCACCCGCCATAATCCCCCCCGCACCCCCAGCAGGCGGCCCCTGCTGCTGTCCCCCCTGCCTGCCGCCAGTGACGCGTCCCGCTGCGCGCATCAGCAGCTCCCGCCCCATCCCCAGCCCCATGCGCCTGCTGCCCTGCCCGCTGCGCACGCCGCCCGCGTTGCCCCCGCTTGCCCCGCTTCCGCTGCTGCCGCGAGCCGCTGGGAGCGAGGCGTTGGGGAGGAGCGCGAGGAGCGCATCGACGGTGGCGACGTCCACGTTCTCGAGGAACGCGTCGAGGCGCGCCTCCGCGTGCAGCAGCCACCAGCCCGCGCGCTGCTGCCAGTCGGACGCGGTGAACGGCAGCGTGAGCAGCGCGGCGGCGGAGGCGGAGGAGTCGCACACGGTGCCCTGCACGATCGCGAGCGAGTCGGGCGGCCCGCCGGAGGCGTTTACGAGGAGAGCTTCGGCGAGGATATTGAAGTTGCCGGTGGCATTCCTGAGGTTGGGGAGGGAGAGACGAAATCGATATTAAAATAAAGAGGGGCGAGAATGGAGCCAGATCCAATAAAACAGGGAAATATGAGATCCTGAAAATATGAGATCGTGAAAATCAGACACGGTTTTTGTAGCTCCCGACAAAGATGGAGAGAGGGATTCGATGCTCACTTGAAGATGGCGAGGTGGAAGCCGCCGTCGAGGACCGTCTGGTCCGCGGAGCAATTCGCCAATCGTCCGCCTACGTCCGCCGTCAGATTGCCGACGGCCGTCAGGTTCAGCGGAGGGCCGCGTGGCCCAGGAGGCCCGCCAGGTCCACCCTTTCCGCCGGGTCCGCCAGGCCCTCCGCGCTGTCCCCCTTGCCCCTGTCCGCCAGGACGGACTCCGCCAGGCGGGCCTCGCTGCGCTGCCAAGGCGGAAGTCGCGAGGAGGAGAGCTATGCAGACTAGGAAGAGGGCTCTGGCTGCCATGACTGCTGGAAAACAAATTGAATTTTGGTCAATCGAAGTTGAGTAGGTAGGCTGCTTGGCTGTGGTGTGGATGTGGATCGAGGTTGAACAGAGGAAAGCAGAACGGAAAGTTTGAGATGAAATGAAATCGAAATGCTGGACCCAGTTTATAGGGCTGCTGATCTCTCGAGTCGCTCGACGATTGGGTTGACTGAGGGGTGGAGATTCCCGAATCGCGAAAAGACTGGTCAACAAAAGGGGCGACGTGAAGTATTCCTGTAGTATTAGGTTCGGCATGGGTGGCTCGGCTTGCTGGGCTCGGTTTCATTTTGGTTTGCGGCCCGGTTGGGGTCCGAGCCTTTCCTTTACGTCTGTGTAAGGAAGGTTATACCAACAAGGCGTTGAATGTCGTGGACTGGGCTTGAGAGACATGGGTCAAAGCGACGCGCATGGAGGGAATTGCAGCCGAACCAGCAGTCACAGGCGTGCCTTTTGGCAACCTTGATATAGTACTTCATCGTCTTAGCCTTAAAGGCCACATGCTTTCACTACATCCGTTTCCATGGAACAAACAAACACATCACTTTCCACAAATATTAACAAGGCAATGTACACTAGTAAGACAATCAGAGAAGAGATTCAGAAGAGAGACAAGAGAAGCACATAATAAACAGCAACGTGTAAATGAATCAAGCATCAGAGTATAGGTAAGGCCTTAGTGGTTATAATGAGCACAATGATCCAAATGAGCCGCCAAATCAGTCGGAGATGTGGCAAGGTAACCATGACATATCGGACAATGCAAAGCAGTAAAGCCAACACTTGCGGCACCACTCCCATCATAACTCCCATCAACTTCGCCTGCACTATGCATATGCATGCCATACCCACCCATCATCACCCCCCTGGTACCATGCCAGCAGCCATACCCTGCACACCCACTTCCCCCATACCCGGCCACATCCCTCCCAGTACCCCACCTATTCCCACTGCAGTAGCAGCTGCTGCACCATCATTCATCCCGGACCACATACCCGAACCAACATGCCCTCCCATACCTGCCCAAGCGGCTGCCGAACCTGCATATGCGTCAGGAGGACTCCAACCAGCCCCAGCTGCAGCATCCGGACCAAGTACACCAGTCCCGGACCAGACCTCCGAACCAGCTAAACTTCCAGGTTCGGAAGGAATGCCGAACGACATCTCAGGCACAGCATGGCCCCCGAAAGCAGCTCCAGTGTAATTGACAGCAGCAGCAGCAGCAGCAGCAGTGGAAGCAGCGGAGGGGACAGCTGTGGTATTGGTAGGTCCCATTCCCAAATGCCATGACGGAAGCGCACTAGGCAGCCCTGCATGAGCCGCAGGAGGAGAGCCGACCATGCCATGCCATCTAGCAGGAGGAGAGCCGACCATTCCATGCCATGTAGCGGGAGGAGACCCGACCATACCATGCCATGTAGCATGGCGCCATGCCATGGCACCAGCAGCAGCATGAGTGGTCGCCATTCCTTGCACCCCTCCCCCTCCACTGGAATTAGCAAAGCCACCGCCAGCAGGTGGAGCCCCAGTAGCCACGGCTGCTGCCGTGCTTGCCGCACCTCCAGGCTGGTATGCTGCCGAGCCTGCCGCACCGCCAGGCTGGTATGCTGCCGAGCCTGCTGCACCGCCAGGCTGGAATGCTGCCGAGCCTGCCGCACCGCCAGGCTGGTAGGCTGCCATGCCTGCTGACGTCACAACGCCCATTTGAAGGGCAACTGCAGACCCTCCAGTGTGCGTTGCTCTGCCAGCAGTCATGCCATACCCACCACTGCTATACATCCCATTGCCATGCCCAATACTGCTGCTCAACCCAGCACCTGCCATCACACCTGCCATCACCCCTGCAGCAACCCCTACTGCTCCTCCTAAAGGCCCTGTTGCTGCTGGCACATGTGCTCCTCCTACAGGCCCCGTTGCTGCTGGCGTGTATGCTCCCACTGCCCTACCAGATTCCTTGCTCCCTGCAACCCGTGGGCCTCGCCACTCCTCAGCTCCTGCTCTCAGCAGCGAGGCTCCAGCCGGGTGCGCCCCTTCCTGTTTGGAGATGGGAAGCGCTGCTGCAGCAGCGCCGGCCGCTCCTGCTGGTGATGCTGCTGGTGATGCTGCTGGTGCCAGTGCTGCTGCTGCTGGTGCTGCTGCCAGTGCTGCCGGTGCTACTGGTGCTACTGGTGCTCCTGGTGCTCCTGGTGCTCCTGGTGCTCCTGGTGCTCCTGGTGCTCCTGGTGCTCCTGGTGCTCCTGGTGCTCCTGGTGCTCCTGGTGCTCCTGGTGCTCCTGGTGCTCCTGGTGCTCCTGGTGCTCCTGGTGCTGGAGCCGCAGCAGCAGCAGCAGCAGGAGGTGAAGTTGACAGACTCGTTGATGAGGTTGATATAGAGGGATGGCGAGGAGATTCGGTTGTGAGAGAGGCAGCGAGTGGGGCAACAGCAGAGGGTGCATTCGCTGGTGTGGTGAGAGACTCAGCAGAGGCAGCAAAGGAGCCAGAAGCAGAGGCTGTTGCAACCGTTGCAGCAGAAGCCGCACTGTTTGCAGCAGGAGAAGCAGTGGCAGCAGTGGCAATGGCAGCACCAGTGGCAGCACCAGTGGCAGCAGTGGCAGTGGCAGCACCAGTGGCAGCACCAGTGGCCGAAGCAGCAGTGGCAGAAGCAGCGGCAGCAGCGGTGGCAGCAGCAGCAGTAGAGGCAGCATATGGGCGAGCGGAGGGGGGCGGTGGGGAGAGGAAAGCAGTGGAAGGGGCGAAAGGGGCGGAATGGAGTGAGAGCTTGGAAGGGGTGAAGGCAGGGGATGTGGAGCGAAGAGGAGCTGATGGCACAGAGTAGTGAGAGGAGAGAGATGAGTGAGAGGAATGGGCAGAGGGAAGAGTGGGATGGTTGGAGGACAGAGAGGAGTGAGAGGAGCGGGCGGAGGAGAGAGAGGAGGCAGTGGAAGGAACGAAGGCCGGAGCAGTGGGAGAGATAAAGCGAGGGGGGATCACTGCCTTGGGCCGAAACGGAACTGCTCCTGCTGCTTTGGCCAGAGAAGTTTTTGACAGGAACGACGAGCTTGCGCTGCTGCTGCTTCTGGTGCTGCTCCTGTTGCTGATACTGCTGCTGCCGCTGTTACCGCTGCTGCTGCTGCTGTTGTTGCTGTTGCTGCTATTGCTATTTCTTGCGCTGTTGAGTCTTCTGGCACTCCCCGAGATGCTATTACCAGCAAATTCGGGGCTATAAATGGCTACGCTGCCCCATCCCACCAACCCACCTGCCGCTGCCCCTGTGCCATAAACCGCATGAGCCTTCGTCCCTTCCGTGCCTTCGAGATACACTGGACCATTCACTTGCCCTCCTTGCTCCTCGGCGCCTCCATCGCCCCACGTCCCACCATGGTAAGCCATGCCACCACCCATGCCACCACCCATGCCGCCATCCATGCCGCCACCCATGCCCATCACCATGCCATTCGCCATGCCATTTCCCATGCTACCCATCATGTCGACTGATGAAGCCATGCCATCCCCCTCGAGCATTCCGCCCCTTGAGTGGATGTGCATGCTGCCCTCTCCCATGCCATCCTTCCCCATCCCATTCGCCATCCCCACTCCCCCCATGCCGCCTCTGTCTCCTCCCTTGCCCCCTGCATCCACTGCCATGTCCTCCCTATGGTCAAACAGTCGCCTGATTGGCCGCTGGTGGCGGGGAAACGGCGGGGGAGAGTCGAGGGTAGACGGGAGAAACACACCATCCCCCAAATCATGCCCTAGCACCCCTTCCTCCGCATCCTTTCCCTCCTCTTCCTGCTGCTCTCGTGCACCTCCCACACCCATACCCATGACCACTGGTCTAATCCTTCCATCACGCGCTGCGATCACTGCCACCCCCTGAATGGAATCAGAGGGAGCAGCAGCACCTGCACCCCACAGCACCGCATCAGAGCGGAAAGCTACCGCAGACACAGAGGAAGGAGCGAAGGCAGCAGGGCTGGAAGCTACCACAGAAGTGGAGGAGGGAACGAAGGCGGATGCAGTAGCAGCAGAGGCTGAGAGGGAGGAGGCAAGAGCAACAGCGGGAGAACCAGCAGGCTGTGTCTTAACAGGAGTAGAAACCCTAGCAGTTGTAGCACCAGCAGCAGAAACCCTAACAGCCGTTGCACCACCACCAGCAACTCTAACCACCGCAGCACCAGCACCTGCATCAGCACCAGCAGCAGCACCAATGGGTTTGAATTCGGGCGCATTCAGCTTCGGTTTAAATTCCGGAGCAGAGAGTTTGGATTTAAACTCCGGAGCTGAAATTGCACTGGCTAGGGATGACGAGCCAGCCAGGGAGGTTCGGAGAGAGTAGGTTGGGGATGGGGAGGTTCGGGACGGGGATGCGGCACGCTGAGGAAGTCGCCAGGAAGCTGCCGCAGTGAGGGTAACACTAGTGGTTGTTGCGACAGCAGCAGCAGGAGAAGAAGCAGCAAGAGTAGCGGCAGCAGGAGGAGGAGGAGAGGCAAGAGAAGATGTAGAGGCGGAGGGGGACTTGAAGAGAGTGGACGGGGGAAGGGGAGAGGAGGAATGGGCAGGCAGAGGAGAGGAGGAGCGGATAGGAATGTAGGGAGCGGGTGACAGGGACCGATGGACAGTGCTGGGGGTGGCAAAAGCAGCAGCAGTGGCAGAAGCAGCAGCAGCAGCAGCAGCAGCAGGAGATTGAGTTGCCGTTACAGTTGGCGCCGCCGCAGCTACTGTGGGGATTGCTGCTGAGGCTGGTGTGGCCGGGAGTGAAGGGATGAACTCACCAGCTGTCGCCGAGAGAGTGGTTGCGCGGATTGCTGCTGACGTGGAGCTTGCTGACGTGGAGGATGAGGAGGATGAGAGGGACGAGGGGGTAAGGCGGAGTTTGGAGGAGAATGATGTCGTGTCAGAGAGGGAGGAGGAAAGGGTGGAAGAAGAGGAGGAAGAGGAGGAGGAAGAGGAGGAAGAAGAGGAGGGGGAAGAGGTGGTGGTGCTGGAGGTTTGGGAAAGGGAAGGGGGACGGGCAGGGAGGGAGATGGAAGTGGGAAGAGAGGGGATAGGAGAAGAGGGTTGGCAGGAAGGGGGTGGGGGGGAGTTGGGTAGGCTAGAGGGCACTTTAGAGTTAGGGCCCTCCCTGCTGCTTCTGTTGAAACTGCTGCTGCTATCGACAATCCTGCTGCTGCTGGTGGTACTACTTCCACAGCTGCTGCCACTGCTACTGCTGCTGCTGCTGCTGCTGCTGCTGCTGCTGCTGCTGCTGCTGCTGCTGGTATTGGTGGTGCTATCGATAGCAGTGATGTCACTACTGTTGCTGGGATTGCTGAAACTGTTGCTTTCAGTGGTGATGGTGGTGGTGCTGTTATTGGGGCTGGGGCTGATTGTGGTCCTTTTGCTGTCAGGAGCAGCACCACTCGTCTTATTCTCTGGCCCAGCAGGACTCGGTTCTGTCGCTGGAGGGTGGAAGACAAACAGACGGAAAGGTGCAGAGACGGGGGATTTGCTATCAGGAGCAGCACCACTCGTCTTATTCTCTGGCCCAGCAGGACTCGGTTCTATCGCTGGAGGGTGGAAGGCAAACAGACGGAAAGGTGCAGAGACGGGAGATTTGCTATCAGGAGCAGCACCACTCGTCTTATTCTCTGGCCCAGCAGGACTCGGTTCTGTCGCTGGAGGGTGGAAGACAAACAGACGGAAAGGTGCAGAGACGGGGGATTTGCTATCAGGAGCAGCACCACTCGTCTTATTCTCTGGCCCAGCAGGACTCGGTTCTATCGCTGGAGGGTGGAAGACAAACAGACGGAAAGGTGCAGAGACGGGGGATTTGCTATCAGGAGCAGCACCACTCGTCTTATTCTCTGGCCCAGCAGGACTCGGTTCTGTCGCTGGAGGGTGGAAGACAAACAGACGGAAAGGTGCAGAGACGGGGGATTTGCTATCAGGAGCAGCACCACTCGTCTTATTCTCTGGCCCAGCAGGACTCGGTTCTGTCGCTGGAGGGTGGAAGACAAACAGACGGAAAGGTGCAGAGACGGGGGATTTGCTATCAGGAGCAGCACCACTCGTCTTATTCTGGCCCAGCAGGACTCGGTTCTGTCGCTGGAGGGTGGAAGACAAACAGACGGAAAGGTGCAGAGACGGGGGATTTGCTGTCAGGAGCAGCACCACTCGTCTTATTCTCTGGCCCAGCAGGACTCGGTTTTTGAGGCGCCTAAAAAAAAACACCACTCGTCTTATTCTCTGGCCCAGCAGGACTCGGTTTTTGAGGCGCCTCAAAAAAGGCACCACTCGTCTTATTCTCTGGCCCAGCAGGATCGGTCTCTTCTACTGGTGTGGTGGTTATCGTGTCAACCCAAAATGCAAGAAAGTGGAGAGATGGGGGAACATTCAAACAAGAAAATGATCAGAGAAGAAAAGACACAGAGAGCAAAAAAAGCATACATGAAATACACCGACAAGAAAATACACAGACAGGAGTTTGATATGAGGCCAGGGCAAGAACGACAGGAATGAGAAGAATGAGCAACACATGGGGTAACCAGCAAAGCGCACTTGGCAGCAGCAGTGACAACGCTGGCACTGACAACGAGGAGGCTAATAACGAGGACGGAAGTGTACCCCCTTGTCAGGCCTGTTGTCATTTTCTGGAAAGAAATGTGTGGGAGAGGCTGGGAGGTAGGCAGGCAGCACACCCACCCACCCACCTTGTTTGGTCGTCACAGCACCACTCCTAGCAGCACCAGCATCATCAGCATCAGCAGCATCAGCCGCATCAGCAGCATTAGCATCAGCAGCATTAGCATCGGCAGCATCTGCATTAGCAGCAGCAGCATCCGCATTAGCAGCAGCAGCAGCAGCATCCGCATTAGCAGCAGCAGCAGCAGCAGCAGCAGCAGCAGCAGCAGCAGCAGTAGCAGCAGCAGCAGCAGCAGATGCAGATGCAGCAGGAGTTGAGAGACGAGCAGCCTCAGTCACAGGCGATGCAGTGGTCTCTGCACAACCATCATCTGCTGCCAGTTGCTCCTCTGCACTACCTTTCCCACATACCACCTCCCCTCCACCTCTCCCACTCAACACCTTCCCTTCACCTTCCCCAGATACCACCTCCCCTTTACCTCCCAACGGCCCATCCCACTGCTTCTCAGGAGCAGGTAAGAGACTTGCAGCAAGTTTAAGAGGAGAGGCAGCAGGACTCCAAATAGAGGGGGAGGAGGAGAGGAGGGGGAGGGCAGAGGCAGAGAAGGCACGCGGAACAGGTGACACGTGGTGGTGGCGGTGGTGACTGTTCAAGGAAGTTGTAGCGGTGAAACTAGGTGTGGCTGTAAGAATAGGCAGGGCGACAAAAGGCTCACAAGCTGCCGATGCAGAGGCAGCTGCTGCAGTAGCTGATGCTGCTGATCCCTCCCCCTTTTCCTGGCCCGTGGCAGTTGCGAATGGAGACACTATTTCAAGCAAGCCGGAAGGAGAGGCAGCAGTGGCAGAAGAAATGGGATCAGCAGCAGTAACGGCAGGTAGAGCAACAGCGCTAGCAGGGGAGCGTGGGTGGCTGGAGAGCAGAGAGGAGAAAGAGGCGGTATGGGGTACTGGGGCGCCCCCTGCTATCCACGCCCACACTGCCTCGTGGCCATGGTCATGCTGCTCATCTCCACCACCATCATCACCATCACCACCAGCACCATCACCACCAGCACCATCACCACCAGCACCATCACCACCAGCACCATCACCACCAGCACCATCACCACCAGCACCAGCACCATCACCACCAGCACCATCACCATCACGAACACACCTGTTATTACCTTCACCCGTACCATTGTGACGAGCGTCATCATGAGCAGCGCTGTAAAGTGTGCCATCTGTATCTTGCTTCTCTCCATCACAGGCCGCAGTGGCAGCAGCAGCAGCAGCAGCAGCAGCAGTAACATCAGCAGCAACATCAGCAGCAGCATCAGCATCAGCAGCAGCATCAGCAGCTGCATCCGCAGCATCAGCAGCAGCAGCAGCAGCAGCAGTTCCAGCAGCAGCAGCAGCAGTTCCAGCAGCAGCAGCAGCTCCAGCAGTACCAACAATAGCAGCAGTAGCTTCAGAAGTGGCACTAGTGGCAGCAACACCACCATCATCATCAGCAGCAGCAGCAGCTGTAGCAATCACAGGATCGTCACAACAACCACCGCCTTTCCCTGCAAAGCTGCCAACCCCACCAGAAGCACCACCACCCCCGCCAGCAGCACTAGCACCCCCACAACCACCAGCACCACCAGCACCAGCAGCACCAGCAGCACTAGAAGCCCCCAAAACACCACCCACACCAGCAGCACTAGCCCCGCCACCAGCAGCACGCCCCGAGGCAGCAAAGAGGGAGGAGAATCTGCTGTGCGTGCGCCTGGCAGCGGCCACAATTTCACCAGCTCGCTTCATCTCATCCCCTGTCCACCCCACCCCCGCCGCCGCTGCTTGCTGCCAGCTTCTGAATCGACTCAAAAGCAGGCTCTTCTCATCCACTGTCCACCCCACCCCCGCCGCTGCTGCTGCCACGTGCTGCCACCCCTGCTGCAGCTGCTGCACACCCTGCAAACCCCCTCTCTGTGCCTGTTGACAATTCAGTGCGCCTGTCTCTTGCTGTGTGCCCGTCTGTTGCTCTGGCTCTGTGTTTGTCTGTGTCTCTGTCTGTGCCTGTGCGCTATCCTGCTCTAGAAATGTAGCATTCTCACCATTGCTTGGGCTTGTGCTGCTGGTGGTGGTGGTGGTGGTACTGCTGCTGCTGGCGCTGGTGCTGGTGCTGTTACTGCAGCCTGTGGCGACTGCAGCAGTGACAAGTAGCGGACCTGTGGTGGTGGTGGCGCTGCTGCTGCTGCTGCTGCTGCTGCTGCTGCTGACACTGGCTGTGCTGCGGCTGGTGTTGGCATTGGCAGTGCGACTGGCGCCGGTGCCTGGCCCAGCGCGAGAACCAGCGTGCATGCCTGGTGACCCAGCGGCGTGCACGCCTGGTGACCCAGCGGCGTGCATGCCTGGTGACCCAGCGGCGTGCATGCCTGGTGACTCAACGCTGGTAGAGCCATCACCAGGCTTGCTGCATTCAGGTGAAATGACACTGTTGCTGGTGGTGATGGCGATAGTGGAAGCAGTGGTGGAGGGGGAGGAGGATGAAGGTGGAAAGCCAGTGGAGAAGGAGGAGGAGGAGGAAGAGGAGGAAGAGGAGGAAGAGGAGGAGGAGGAGGAGGAGGAGGAGGAGGAGGAGGAGGAGGAGGAGGAGGAGGAGGAGGAGGAGGAGGAGGAGGAGGAGAAGGAAGAAGGGGAGAAGAAAGAGGAGGAAGAGGAAAGGGAGGAGGAAGACGAGGTAGCCAAGCCAGTTGTAGAAGTCCTGGTAGAAATCAGACGAGCTTCGCCACCACCTGGTGCACCAGCAGCATCAGCAGCATCAGCAGCATCAGCAGCACTAACCAGAACAGCTTCGCTGCCTCCCACTGCCCCAGCAGCAGCACTAACCAGAACACCACCGACTGCACTGACCGTTCCCGCCGTGCCAGTCAGAGTGCCTCTGGTCGCGCCAGCAGCAGAGCTGATCAGCCCACTGGTGGCAGCACCGGAGGAAGCGACCAGGGCACTTGCCACACCACTTGACATACCACTTGACACACCACTTGACACACCATTTGACACACCACTTGACACACCACCAGAACCAATCAACCCACTAGAGGCAACACTAGCAGCACTAATCAAACCACTTGCTCCCCCTCTTGCAGCAGTACCCCCCACACTTGGAACACTGACAGCACCCGCAGATCCTGCCAGTATCCCACCACTACCACCACCCGCACCGCCCACACCGCCCACACCACCACCACCACTTGCAACCCCAGCACGGCTCACCAGGCCAACTCCCACCAGTCCCGCTCCCCCTCCCAGCCCCATACCTCCCAACAGCGGCCAGGGCGCAGCCAGGACGCCATCCCCTGTCACTCTGATCCTGGCAGGCAGCGATGCTGCTAGGCTGGTGCCCCGCAGCCCCTGCTGCAGTATCACCGGCCCTACCTGGACCAGCCCATGCCCCTGCACTCCCTGCCCCTGCACTCCCTGCCCCTGCACTCCCTGCCCCTGCAGCCCCTGCCCCTGCCCCTGCCCCTGTGCCTGCCCTTGTTGTCCCTGACCCTGAACCTGCACCTGACCGTGCACCTGACCTGGGCGCCTGGCTTGACCCGTGGCTACAGATGCTAGAGCGCGCTCCACGGCAGCGGTTGTAGCGGCGGGCACTGTAGCAGCGGGTACTGTAGCGATGGCTGTAGCCGAAGAGACTGTAGCTGCTAGTGGGGCGAGGTTACTTGGGGCTGAGTGTGAGAGGAAAACGGCAGAGGAGGGAATGGAGGAGGAGGGAGCAGAGGAGGAGGAGGAGGAGGAGGAGGAGGAAGTAGAGGAAGAGGACGAAGTAGAACGAACAGCAGACGTGGCAACAGCTGCTGACGTGGAGTTGAGAGGGGCATGGTGGCCCAACAGGGATGACGTGGACACCCAGGAGAGAGGGGAGTGCGTGAGAGCAGTGGGCCTTTCCCACACGGACTTATGGGACCCTGTGGTAGAATAATGGAATGTGGGATGGGAAAAGGCGAGAGTGGGAGGATGCATGGTGAAGTGTTGGGTGGGGTGAGAGGTGGTGCGTGATGGCCCAAAAGAGATGACGTGGAAATTCAGGAGAGATGGGAGTGAGTGAGAGGCGACGGCCATTCCCACACGGTCTTATGGGATGCTGTGGGGCAATAGCAGAGAGAAATGCAAAGAAATAGATGGGGGATTGAACGGCATGTGGGCAAGAGGCATATTGTGTGATTCATTTTTCATTTTTGTCGTGTGATTCATTTTCGGTAAATTTAATGGCATCATCATACACAATGTTTATTAGCTTGCCTTGTGCGCATGGCTCCTTTACAGTAAGCACGCACGCCTTCACAGCTCGTTTGCACGCATTAGCTGATTGGTAGCATTCTAATTTTGAGGCGCCTAAAAAATAGACTCCTAGAAAATATTATTTTGAGACGGCTTAAAAGTAGACTCCGCTGGCCTGTGCGCATTGCTCCTCACAGTAAGCACGCCTGCACTGCGCTGCTAGTTTGCACGCATTAACTGATTGATATCACTCTGAAGCTGCCTTTCACCCACTTTCACTGTGGCTGTTTCGTTTTCAAGAAAAATCCGCAACCTCAAAGACTGTAGATTTTGACACGCCTGAAAACAAATGAAGGGGATTCACCAGGAATCCACGATAGGAGAACAGTAGAACCCCCTGTCTGCTAGGGACATGAAATACGGAGGCTGATGGAACAAAAGGTGCAAGGGCAAGGCTGTGGCACAAAATGACGGGGTGCACAGAGGAGGGCGATGCAGTTCGAGTGATATACACACCAGTGAGAGGAGAGGAGAGGAGAGGAAAGGGGAGGAGAGGAGAGGAGAGGAGAGGAGAGGAGAGGATTGAACATACGACGTCTCAATCAAATCCAAGTGGCGTACCAGTGAGAGGAGAGGAGGGCGAGAGCTGCATGAGAGGCGAAGACGCCATGGCGGAAATAGGCGGATTGAAACCCCTCACTCCCCCAATCATCCTGCCAAAACCGCCGCCGCTGAAACCAGCACCAAACCCAGCAGCAGCAGCACCACCACCACCACCGGCAGCTGTGGCAGCAGGAGAAGAACCACCAACGCCATTAGCAATTCCACCGAGGCCATCAGCCCTCCCAGTCGCACCACTCACAGACAGCCTGCCAGCCCCAGCAGACGATCTCACCACTATCACCCCCCCTCCGGCTCCTCCCCACACACCTCCCCCTCCATATCCCACAACAACACCACCACCACGGACCCTCTCCACCCCTTTACCGCTCTCCCACCAGCCGCTGCCACCTGTCACGCGCCCATTGGCCGTGCCCTTCGTCTTCTTCCCTGAAGCGGCTCTAGTTGACCCTACGAATCCACCTGTCCCGCCTGCCCCGGCTGCTACAGATGGCCTATCAGCAGCGGCAGGGGAGGGGGGCTGGGGGACGCCGTAGGGGGTGCGGCAGCTGGGACAGAGGCTGTTGAGCTCCAGCTTGATGCGCTCGTAGCAGAAGAGACACACGCGGTACCTGGCGTGGGGGGAGAGAGGGGAGAGGGGGTAAGGGATAAGGGAGATTGAGGCATGGGAGGTAGGCTGGGGATTTGGCAGCTTGATGCTGTTGGGCTCGTACCAGAAGAGACAGACACACGCGGTACCTGGCGTCGGAGAACGGGCCAAGAGGCATGGGTAGAAGGAAGCATGGAAAGATAGAAGAGATGTAAGTGGAGGAACGAGGTGTAAGAATGCCCAAGAAACGAAACACAGAGAGGAATGAAGCGATCACCGTGGTTGGCGAGTGAGGCCATTCATCATAAGCTAAGGCCATTCATCAGAAATCACCTCGAGAAGCGCCAGAGCGCCAGAGCGCTAGAGCTAGTGATTCTAAACCTGAGGCCATTCGTACGCTGCCTCCTCCTGCCACCTACACCTCCCAGACTTGTGGAAAAGAAACCACCACACGTGCGCTGACGCAACCTGTGTCGTGGCTACCCCACCCACACTTACCAGTGAAGTCGGAGAGACAAAGAGAGAGCTGCAAGGCTCACAAGGCCTGGTGCCTAGCAGTGCCAGGTCCGGGGAATAAAATCCCCGCCAAGAACGGCCTCGCCGCACGCAGCTCGCGTCCCGCTGCTCATTCGCACTGTGACAGGCAATCAATTCCTGGCAAAATGCGAAAGCGCGGACGGAGTTTTACCCGCAGGGACAGGGTCGGAATCGAACTTCGGTATTGTCCAGGTGCTCGATGCACAGCGGGCACACGGGATCCTCCTCCTCCTCTTCTTCCCCCTCCCATTCCTCCGCTTCCGCTTGCGCTTCCGCCTCATCTTCCGCCTCCCCCCGTACGTCCCTCTCATGCCGACCGTCCCTGTGAGCCCAATCGCGGTCCACGCCGGACCATTCCACGCCGTACGACGATATTCGGGACACTGGATCTCCGGGTTTCGCGGCGGAGGTTACAACGACCCGTTTCGGGCCGGAGACTTTGGACATGGTCCTGGGCGTGCATAGACGGTGACGCAGCGGTCAGATGTCAACCTGGGGAATTCAAGCGTGCACAGACGGTGACGAGCGTGCAGTGAAATGGAACCAAGCGGTCAGGTGTCAGCCCGGACTTAAAAACGAAGCGAGAATAATTAGATTAGCTGGCAGAATAGAATAATGAATCATGAAGCTGCGATGGTCAAGAGGATGCCATGCAGAACCCGCTTAGCCAACTTAAATGCTCATGGCTAAGTACGGGGTTGAGGAAAAGCTCTCAGCTAAGCGAGAGGTAGCTAAGTGTGAAAATGTTGAGACAAAAATGTGGATGCAAGCTGATTAGGGTTGCGTGTCAGGGGAAAAGACCAGGGGAAACACGAGCATCGTTAGGAGCTCATGACGGCGGAATGCAAAAAGGCAACTAATGCGGAAATAACGCGAATGTCGTAACATGACTGCTTGGTGACACCTGAACGAAATGCGGAACCAGACGTCATCCCCTTGCCAGGCACGCCGTGCGGAAAGCTAGTACCTTTTGTACGCGCTAAGAGCCGCAAGTTTAAGGTATAAAATGCACGTGGTAGAGACCCGGCCAAGAACGTAACCAGTGTGGTGACGACAAGCCAACCCGGCGCGAGGACATGACCACCCTAAAAGTCGTCCCTAGGCCCTTCTGATGGTGCCTCCTAGGCCCCTTTGATAGTTGCTCCTAGGCCCCTCTGATAGTGGTTCCTAGGCCCTTCTGACAATATTCCTAGGCCCCTCTGATAGTCGTTCCTAGCTGACGGTGGAGCCCCAGTGCCTGTGCTCGGATGGTATTGGACGATATGCGAAGTGTCAGGTTCCAAGAGTACCCTAAAGAGCACCCTGAGAGCGGAGTTCTAATCTCGTACTCGTCCCTTGAAGTTGTACTGTAATGGGCGCACGAGTGCAGCACACCACACATGAAGAAGCTAGCATTGCAGCCTTCGGCAGTGTCCTAACCAGGATGTCGGCAACATCCGCTGACAACCGTCGTAGATTCAGCACGGTGTTTTACATTTGTATATGTTTGTAAAGGTTTGCAGACAGCTTTCAGATCGGTGCTTCGACATCTGCTTCTTCGACGGTTTCTCTGGGCACTTTGAACGCGCTCTTATCAGGATGTGCCATTCTGCAGCGCCAGTGCGCCACCACCATCAGGAGAGCCAGGCTGCGCGCGCCAGTCACCTTTGCTCCGCCGTCCCGCCAGCACCGCGCGGCTTTCTTCCCAAACCTCGAGAATGGTTCTGCAGTGAGGCAGAGGGAGCTCCAGGAAAGGCATTTCCCGATGACGCTTCCCCTTCCAGAGGGAACCCTGGAACCAGGGCTCTCGCTAAGCCTTGGGTATTCCGTTAGGTCACGGAATCGGCCGCGAAAATACCCGCTAGCGGAAGGAATCGCCGAGACTACCCGTTAGCATACGGATTCCTCGAAAAGCTACTCTTGGTTTGATACTAACATCCTTGAATGCAAATGGCCTCGGCCACGACTAAGGAAAATCCATCGAAACCCCAGGGACTGTTTCTCGCGCATACTCCGCCTCAGGCAGTTGGAAGAGTAGAAAAACTCCCGGCAACTAGCCTCGCGCTTTGCTTCGTGGAGGAAGTTGGGAAAAGTAGAGGGGAGGGTGGGAAGGGTTATACACCACTACGAACAGGTCTCCTACTACAAATGCACTGCGTACGGAATTAAAGAAAAGTAACCCGCAATGTCAAGGAATCGCACGAAAAGTAATTCGTTCGGCAGACGGAATTAAAAACGTTAACTATGCGAAAAACGGAATCAGGTCGGAAACAACTCTTAATTTCGCTACATTTAGGGTAATTACTCTGTTAGCCAGCCTTCCGCCGACCCGTTTTCGTCCGCCCCGCCCGCGTGTATTTGACGGCGTTATCAGGGCACTTCTGACATCCCCGCACTTGATTGGAGAGCTGGATTTGGAACGAGCGACGGTAAAGTCATGGATGGGAGTGGACTTGGGACTCCCTGTTTCTGAGATTGGTGGACGACGCTCTACGAAAAGGCTAACGTCGCAAGTGAAGAAAATCGAGGGGTGCGAACAACACTGATTGGCTGCGATCGGACGCGTCATTGATGATGGATGAGCCAGCAAGAGTTCAGCGACCAATCAGGCGTAAAATGCCATGACGAGGGTGAACAGCTTCAGTCCATAGGGAATGCCATTGGGAAACTTTGACGAGTGGCTATGGGCGCGCATATAAAGGGGGGGGGCGGGGGGGGGGGGTGGGGTGGGGGAGGGTGTATATCACTTGGTTTAGATGCATCAAGAGAAAGGCTTCAACATGCATCAAACAAAAAAGCGTCTGATAATTTTGTATTCAAGTGACTAACTTGCGCTTCGATTCACAAAATTGGGACGATTGGGTCTGGTAAGGGCCCACGATAGAGAAAGTACAGCATAGCGCAACAAGATTCTCACATGCTTGCATGTACCTAGTTAGAAGATTACATACAATTAGAAATGATTCATCCATCATCCTACTGCTGGCCTCTACTATCACTCCTACTCTCCCTCTTCTCCCCGTCACTCCCTCACGCCTCACCTACACTGAGAATCCTAAAAAGTCCCTCCCACACCCTCCCATTTTGTGCCACCCCTTATTACTCCCTCACAACCCCCTCACACCTCACGTCACCCTTCACACCTCACACCTCGGGTCCGCTTCCAAACATGTCCACCATCCCTCGGAACACCTGAGCTGACAGCTCACTCGCCTCCACCAGCTCGCCGTCCACATTCCAGAAGCCCTGCTCGCCCACTGCCTTGAACGTGAAAGCTGGGGTCTGGGAGGTTGTGGGGGAAAGCAGGACAAGGGGGTTAGGAGGTAGAGGAGACAACACCTGAGCCAATAGCTGACAGCCGACAGCGGACTATGGACCGATGGACCAATGCACAAACGGAGCGATGGACGACTGTTGAACTGACGACGAACCATCTCAGACGCACCTGGTGGTGCTCCGCGAAATGGAAGTCCAGGGAATCTGCGCCCTTGATTGCGCATGAGATGCACACTGTATAGCCAAAACCCCACCTGTACCCACCCCCCACCATGGGGGGGGTGCCACCCACCCACCCACCCACCCACCCACCCACCCACCCACCCACCCACCCACCCACCCACGCACCTTGTGGTGCTCAACGAAATGGAAGTTGAGGGGATCCGCGCCTTTGATTGCCAGACACAGCAGCTGCCTGGGGATGGGCGGCAGCAGACACAACGACACACAGGCATGGTTACAACTTAAAACAGAAATCAAGACACTGAAAGGAGAAAATTGGTAATATTGCTGGAGATATTCCAGGAGCACTAAAACATAAAAGATGAGATTCTGGAAGTTAAGAGAAACAAGCTGCAAGGGGGAAGGAATCAGCGACGACTATGTTATTATTGCGTGAAAGGAACAGCGCATAGATTCGATGTCAGCTTACTGGAGGTATTCGGGTCGGGAGCACTCTCGAATCATGATAAGGTTCAGGTTTCCATCTGCCAGGTGGGCGTGCGCCGCGACACCATCTGGCGCCTTCTCGTTGCGACACGAGATCACCGCGCCGCCCACGCTGTGGAACCGGCCTCTCACGGTGCACCAGCCTGGTGTCGCCTCGTCCCACGTCAGCGGCTGCAGCGACGCTACCACGTCAGCGTGGGCAGCGCTGGGCGATTGACTTGTCGTGCCATCGTCATAGGAACAGTCTGTAGTAGACTCAAAGAATGCCGCAACCGTGGGAGGAGGAGCAGCAGCAGAAGCAGCATCATCTGTGGGTGTGGGAGCACTAGCAGCACCAGCAGTGGCAGCACCAGCAGCAACTCCAGCGGCAGCTCCAGTGGCAGTATCAGCTGAAGCAGCAGCAGCAGCAGCATCAACACCAGAAGCCACCCTATCACAAGCAGTTTCAGTGTGGGGGGCAACAAAAGCAGCAGCAGCAGCAGCAGCACCACCACCACCATCAGCTGCAACAGCACTAGGAGAAGTGAGGGGTTCAAGGAGAGCCGCCAGGCCGACGGCAGACTGGGAAGGGCCGATGGCCTCGAATCCAAGGGCGGACCGCGCCAGCAGCGAGAGATCCTGGCCGTTGGCGCACACGGAGCATCCAACAGTGCAGATCTCCGCATGGGGCTTGGTGCTGCTAGGTGGTGGGTGGGGGGCAAGGCGAAGATAGGGATGAAATTGGAAGAGATCATCCATACTAAGCTCAAGAGAAGGCACGGCCGAGCTCTCAAGAAGGAAAGAATGTGAATGTGGAGGATGTGGTGTGGTTATTGGATCAGAATGTGGGTACTAGAGGAGAGGAGGGGAGGGGAGTGGGAAAGGGAGCGTGTGATAGAAGTGTAGCTTTGAGACGTAGGGTAATAAAATAAAACAATCCCCACACACCAGCGCAAGAGAGGAGGTGGGAGCTTTCCAGGGGGGAAGGTTATTAGAATGTGGGTATTAGAGGAGAGGAGGGGAGGAGAGGGAAAGGAAGTGGGAGGGGAAGTGGGAAGGGGGAGGGAGCAGCATGAAAGGTGGGGACATGCGAGCAGTTACCTTTTTCTTAAAAACAGGCAGTGGCGTGAAAGGTGGGGAGGCCACTCGCAGTTACCTTTTTCTGGGTGCCGAAGGTTGGTCGGGCTCCGGCACGTGGAAGAAGGAGACCTCCGCCTCGTAGGACCTGGTGGGTGGGAGATGGTGCGGGAGAGAGCATGGGAGGGAGGGAGAAGGAGAGGGCGGGGAAGCGAGGTTGGGGTTTGGAGGAGGTTGGGTAAGAGGTTGGTCGGGCTCTGGACGGGGGGGGGAGAGGGAAGGGGGGAGGAGAGGGAAGGGGGGAGGAGAGGGACGGGGGGGGGGAGAGGGACGGGGGGAGGAGAGGGAAGGGGGGAGGAGAGGTTGGTGTGTGTCACGACTCACGCCTTCCCTTCGTACAGACATGATGGAAAATGTACAAAGCCGCATCAACTCAATCCCTCTCCCAAACAACCCCCTGCCTTCCCCCTCCCACTCCCCCCTCTCCTCTCTCCCCTCCCAATTCCCCCCCTTCCTCCCTTTTTTTCCCCCCAAAATCCAGCCGCCTTCCTTTCTCAATCTCCCCCCCCCACCCGTGCCGCATATACAGCATGAACCCTGCATTCTTGAGTAAAAAATTAGAATAATTATAAAAAAAAAACCCTGCATAGTTGAGAGTCATTTTTTATGTTAAAAAAAAAAAAAAAAAAAAACCTGCATAGTTGTATGTGGCGGGTCCCATCCACCTCAAAAAGCAGTCTAAGCTTACCTATGACTCAGATTGATTGCCCAACCTCTACTTCCCCACCTGCGCCCCATATACGCCACAAACCCGATACACCACAAACCCGATACACCACAAACCCGATTCACCACAAACCCGATTCACCACAGTGAGTTGATCTCTACACCCATGCGGCATGCCTCATGCCTGCCTTTGCCTCATGCCCACCTGTGCCACATCCACCTCACACAGCATAGCCCCACCCCTTGGTGCATATCTGGCATGTATTGCCCACTCCTCTCCCTACCTGTGCCGCATGTACGTCATGAACCCCGCATAGTCGTATCTGGCAGGCCCCATCCACCTGAGAGCCTCGCTCTCCTTGGTCACCGCACCGTAGAAGCCGTAGCTGGGAGGGAGGGGAGGAATGGGCAGTGGTGGAGAGGGGGGGAAGGAGGAGGAGGCGACTCTTGAGTGGGCCCCATCCACCTAAGAGCCTCACTCTCCTTGGTTACTGCACCGTAGAAGCCACAGCTGAGGGGAAGGGAAGGGGAGGGGGCGTGGGGATTAAAGCCCCCGTCTCATAATTACTAGAGTTTTACACTTGGTTGGAGCAGGCAAACTCTGATTGGTAAGCGAGGTATAAAAAAAATGACAAAAACGAAACGCAAGTGGCGAGACCATTTTGTTTTGGCAAAACACCCGAACCAAAAACAGGTTTGGGGAAGGGTGGCTCGCGATAGGTTTTGCACATCAGTCTGGAGGTTCGTTTTACATCGGACGGTGCAGAATCCAATTTTCCTGCACAGCCAAATTCCACTTCGTTTACAGCGGTAGATTTAGTAATACACTCGCTGAACCGTCGGATCCGAACTTCTAGACGATCGAACGGTCCAACGTCCCCATTCTTCCGTGAACTTGCTCATTCTCCTATTTCACTGCTGGTTTTACAATTGGTCTCGCCCCCCAGCAAGAAACACACTGTCCGAGGCACTTCCTTGCCTGTCTCTTCATATTCGCCAGCATAACTGGGTACCAAGCATTTTACACTTGGTCGGATCCTAGAATTATGAGACGGGGGCTTTAAGAGAGAGAGAGAGAGGGGCGAGGGCGGGGAGGGGTGGGGGGGGATGACTGAATGAGACTTTTGAGTGAGAGAGCCTCGCTCTCCTTGGTCACTGAGCCGTAGAAGCCGGAGCTGAGAGAAGGAAAGGGGGGGATGCTGTGAGAGTGTAGGGAAAAAGGTGGCTTTGTGAACGGCCAGAAAAAGGTGGCTTCAGTGTAAGAGTGAGGCCCTTGAGGGTAACGGTTGGGTAATGGTCTTCGCACGAGTAGTTTTTTTTCTCTTTTTTTTCTGGAATTTCAAACACCGACACCAATCAAAACTGGAGTGAGGCACACGAGAGGATAGTCTGCAAAAAACTGGTCATGTGCTTGTGAGCTCACTTAGATTCTTAGATTCACACGCAAGAAGGGACAGGGTAATTTACCCAAAGAATGATGCGGCATATCGAACATCGCACTCCATCTGCTGCTCCTCGTGCTCCTTCCTGGAACCTTCTGCCGCTCCCCCTTTTGCCGCACTCACATCTCCTCTCTCCTCCCCTCCTCCTCCTTTTCCCCTCTCTTCTTCTCCTGCTGGTTGTGCTGACTCAGCAACCTCGGCTGCTGAATCAGCGCCAACCTGGAGCCGAGTCATCGAGGTCTCAGATAAGGCAGAGAAGGAGGAGGAGGAGAGGGAGGAGGAGGGGGAAGGGGGGGCGGAGGAGGAGAAAGGGGTGGAGGAGGAGAGAGGAGATGCCGAAGCTAGGACAGCGGCTTGGCCCGAAGCTGAGTTTGTAGGTTCGGGTGGGTGGTTCGGCAAGGATTTAGGTTCGGAGGTGGGAGGTTGGTATGTGGAAAGCGCAGGAGGGTCAGAGGTCGGGGGAGAGGAGGATGAGAAGGAGGAGGACGAGGAGGAGGAGGAGAAAGAGGAGGAGGGAGAAGAGGAGGAAGAAGAGGAAGAAGAAGCGGGTTTCCAGGAAGATACCCTGACAACGTCCATGGGAGTGCGTCGACCAATCACAACGTTGAGTGCTGACGTGGCAGGGTCCCGTGAACCAACGAGGCTACAGGTGGGGAAGAAAGGGGTGCAGTGTGATGACAAGAGGTGAGAAGCAACCATATACGGGGTACAGGGGGAGTCTATTTTTGAATAGGTCGTCTTCAGAATAGGTTGTCCCGAAAAGTGTGATGACAAAGGTGAGCAGCAACCATATACCGGGTACTTTGAGTCGACTCAAAATACAACTGGACTGGACAAGAGGTGAGCAGCAACCATATACGGGGTACTTTGAGTCGACTCAAAATACAACTGGACTGGACAAGAGGTGAGCAGCAACCATATACGGGGTACTTTGAGTCGACTCAAAATACAACTGGACTGGACAAGAGGTGAGCAGCAACCATATACGGGGTACTTTGAGTCGACTCAAAATACAACTGGACTGGACAAGAGGTGAGCAGCAACCATATACGGGGTACAGGGGGAAAACGGAGGATGGGACGGAGGGAGTAGGCACTCTTACCGCAGGGAGGGGGGGAGTAGGCACTCTTACCGCAGGGAGGGGGGGAGTAGGCACTCTTACCGCAGGGACGGAGGGAGCAGGCACTCTTACCGCAGGGACGGCCCCACACCTCTTTATACGCATCCTCGTTATTCCCTTCCATCCCCCACCCCTTTCCTCACCTCATGGCAATGCCATCTGTAGACCCAGCAGAAATACTTCCACTCCTCAGCCTCCTAGGCAAGCACAGCCCCACCCCTCCCTCTCACCCCACATCCCACACCCCACACCCCACACCCCATAACCCACACCCCACACCTCCCCCATCCTCCCTCCCCCCCTTCCCCCCCTCCCCCCCCTCCCCCCACTCCCCTCCCTCACCTCATGGCAATGCAATCGGTCGACCCAGCAGGGATGATCCCAATCCTCAGCCGCCTAGGCAGGCACAGCCCCACCCCCCCATCCTCCCCCACTCCCCTCCCAAACTCCACCCCTCCTCCCCCCTCCCCTCCCTCCCCTCCCTCCTCCTCCTCCCCCTCCTCTCCCTCCCTCAGCGAACCCCAGTCACTCAAGAAAGTCGCGTTCCGAGCTCCCGGATCAAAGCTGGTTCGGCCGAAGCTGCGCCGAGCCTGCTGCGCCTTGGGCGTGTCGTAGAACCCCTTCATCCCGCCCTCCTTGGGAGTCGGGAAATAGTAGCCACCCCCGCCACTCCCGGGTTTAGGAGTCTCATAGTACGACCCGGCCTTGGGGGTTGCATAGTAGCCTTTGGGAGTGTCATAACCATACCCAGTAGAATTGAAACCAGCGGGGGTATCTACACCAGGGGTACCCAAACCAGCAGGGGTATCCAGACCAGGGGCATCCAGACCCATGCCTGCGCCTCTCGGCGAATCATCACAGTCCACGTCAGCGAGCCGCCCGTCAGCTTGTCTGCATGCGGCCATGTTCTTGTCATTATTCTGTCGCCAGCTGGACAAATCTAATCCGGCAGCAGCCAGCCACCCCTTGCTTCCCAGCCGTTTCCGACCCTCCCTCTCCCCCTCCTCCCCTCTCTCCCCTCCTCGTTCCTCCTCTCTCTCCTCTCCCCTTTCTTCTCCCCCCTCCTCTTCATCCCCCTCCTTTCCTCCTCCTATTCCGCCTGCCTTGACTGTGCTGTCCAGATGCAGTGAATCTGCCTCCATTTGGCTCTCCTGCCTGCAGAACCTGCCGAGCGTCAACCTTCTCTCCAAACCAGAGGCACAGGCTTGGTCCAAGCCTGCAGCAGCGTCGGCAGCACCATCCGAAACAATTACAAGCTCATTTTCTCCCTTCTCCCGCCTCTCCTGCCTCTCCTGCCTCTCCTCCTCCTCCTCCTCCTCCTCCTCCTCCTCCTCCTCCTCCTCCTCCTCCTCCTCCTCCTCCTCCTCCTCCTCCTCCTCCTCCTCCTCCTCCTCCTCCTCATCCGCCTCTTCTTTCTCTGCTGTCGTTGAAACTTGCCAGTCTGGCAACTGCTCCAAATCCCGTCCTGCTATTCCATTGTCCCTGAACGTCCTAACTCCGTCCGCTACGCATTCCTCCTTCTCTAGAGCAACGCATTGGGGTCCGCTTTCAACCCTAGCCTTCTGTAAAAGCGTGTCGCTGCTACGCTGCTGCCCCAAAAAACTGCTGCTGCTGCTGCTGGCGCTCCTCCCGCCCGCCGCGCTTCTGCCTCTACCGGGGTTGACTGTAGAGGGGGGCGGTAGGGAGAGGCGCGCGGGTCTCACGCACGGGAACGCGCGGTGGCGGCGCTTCGCCAGGCCGTTGAGGGCTTCGTTGAATAACCCGTCGCCGCCCTGATGGGTGTTGGGGAGGTGACAGGAAGGGAGGGAGATGGTGGTGTTGTGTTACGCATGCGATGGCGTGCGACTACCCATGCCATAGCGTGGCTGCGCGACTCTGTGTGCGACTCGGTGTGCGACTATGTGTGCGACTATGTGTGCGACTCTGTGTGCGACTATGTGTGCGACTGTGTGTGCGACTCACCACGACGATGATCCCGTCGAGCTGGCAGAGCTCCTTGTCCGACGCGTTCTGCAGCATGTCGCGCGCGTGGTTGCGACGGCTGGTTATCACCACCTGCGAACAACGAGCAAGTCGCGAAAATGGGTATGCGACGGAACCTGCCGCGGCCACAGAAAGAGGAGCATAACGATATGCGACTGCTACGCGCTCCAACCCACCGCTGCTGTAACCCTTTTCGCCGTTAGTTCGCTTTGTAACACTTCGCAAACTCTGGTAACCACCCTTACCTGCACGGCGACACCCGCGCGGTCGAACACGGGTCGCACCGCCTCCCACGTCTTTAAACCCTTCTTGCGCCCGCCAATAGGGTTCACGAACACTAGGAGGCTCCTAGGGCGCTCCGGGTCGGCGCGCAGGAGCGAGAGGATGCGGTCCGTCCATTGCTGGCACACGTCAGCGCTGACGTGGCAGAAGACCAGCTTGAGCGGAATCCAGCGGTCGGCGGAGCGGCGGAAGGTGTGCACCGCAAATTGATGCATCTGCGAGCGGGGGGGGAGGGGGGAGGGGGGGGGGTTTGTTGGGGGGGTTGGGAAAGGGGGGAAGGGGAAGGGGGAAAGACGGGAGAGGAGGGGAAAGGGTGAGGAGTTGAGGGGGTGTAAGGGAGGGAGGAGGGGGGGGGGGTGGTGCAGAAGTGCGGGGGAGAACTGGGCAACGGATGAAGACGAATTGGCGCGCAGCGAGCGCGCTTCTCGCCCGCGTGCTTCTCGCCCGCGTGCTTTTCACCCGCCCACTCGCCCGCTCTCTCGCGCGCATGATAGCAGCCTACCCCGTGGACCATGGCCCTGCTTCCGCCTTCCGCAGCGTGCGCGCTCCTCACCCCCGCGCGTTTCTCAACCGCGCTTTTCGCCCGCCCTCAAGCGCATGATAGCAGCCTGGCCCATGGAACATGGTCCTGCTTCCGGCTTCGGCCGTTATAATACTTCGCAGTGCCACCCCGTCTACCCGCGTACCAGCCTAACCGTCCAACCGTCTATATTTCAGCGCCCGTAATAATCAGCGGAACCGACGGCATAGTTCTACCAGAGAAGTGTACTTTGACGAAGCACTGTACCTTAGCGGGACTCGCAAAGAAGCTGCTCTTAACGGATGCCTCTGGGAGCATTTCGACGGCGTAGATTTCGCCGATGGGTGCTGAGCTGGCATTTGGCTGTCCCGAGCCGCAGTCATGGCACGGGAAGGTGGCGGGGCAACCCTGGTAGGAGTACGCCAAGAGGGATAAGGGAAGGGAAGAAACAGAGAAAAGAGAAAAGGCCGATCAGCGTGACTGAGAAGGAAATGGCGGGCGATAATGGACGGGCGACAATAGACGGACAAGAATTGACGGACGAAAACGAGAGTTGACAGAATAGATGGACGTGAATCGACGGACGAGAATCGACGGACGAGAATAGTCGGACGAGAATCCACGGACGAGAAAAGACGGCAACCCGTTGGAATGCGTCCGCAATATGAGCGGCGGAGTCACCGAGATATTTTTTAAGAACGATATGCCGACGCTAACGGACAGTACGAGCTGGGAAAAGGGACGAGACGCGGAATCATGACCTACTAACTCGGGCGTAACTTAGCTAGCCACCGACTGACCTACACTAGTTCACCTGGAAAAATCTACCTGGCTGGCCGATTCGTCCACCCTGTGCCACACAATCCCGTCGACCATCAGCACGGCGCGCACGTGGCCGGAATTCGGAATTAAGAACGATTCTTCTAGCAACGTGTCGCGAGTCCGCCCGCCATTCCTGCCTCTTGCCCCTCCATACCCTCCGTACCCTCGTTCCGCACTAGCGCTTCTCGACATAACCGCGATTTCTGGAGCGTGCTTGGTGTGCTCGAAGCCTAAGTCTACGTCCACGAGCCCATCATCGCACACAGACATTTGAGGACACTGTAATCAGACGCCAAAATTGTCAGAAGAGATTGTCAGGGGAGGCGCGCAGGGCATCAGCTGCTACAGTGGAGGTCCCAGAGAGCCTGTTGTCAGGCCTGCAGTAGAATGCTCGCTCCACCTGCAGTCTCTGTCAACTCACAGCGGCACGCCCAATAGGAAGGGCGTCTGGTGGATAGAGAGAATGGGTGGAGGCTGGGATGTGTGAGGGAGGTGAAAGAGACGTGCATGGCTTTTGGGTGGCAAAGGCGTAGAAAGGCGTTCAATCAACGCCAGCAGAGCCACGAAGGGAGGCAGAGGGAAGGGCGCGAGATGCTGGGAGGGAGGCAGCGAGGGAGCAAGTGAGCGAGCGGGCTGGGGCGAAGCGAACGCGTTACAGAGGGAGGAGTGAGCGAATGAACGGGCGAACGGTACGAGAGGACTTGGTTGGTTTGGGAGTGGTGATGGTAGCTAGTCTCGCGGTACTGTAGTGTGTTGTGCTGTCATGGGTGACCTGACTGGCAGGTCACCCATGGAGGAACAAATTCATCCCCGTACGACCTGGTTCATCAAAACTTGCAGGAGACGTGAAACGCGGCCAGGGGATTGGCCACCTGCACAGTGCTGAGGACAGGAGGGATGCTTGAATTGCTTGTAACTGTATCGTGCGAGGTGTGAATTGACATGACATGACGGGTGTGCGTCAGATGACCTTGACTTCACAAATGTGACAGGAGGGGTGGGGTGGGGGGGAGGAGAGGAGGGGAGGAGGGGAGGAGGGGAGGCCAGGTCAAGCGTTGTCGCGCCGAACGCGGCGGCGTACGACATTTGGCTAATGGCGGGAAAAGGCCAGAAAGCGGCTGCCGCCGACCGGGCCTAGGGACTGGTCTGGAGAAGGAATGGCCACTGGCCAAAGCTCATGCATGTCGGTTGGGCTGGTTTGGCTGTGAGTCGAGAGGTCCTTCCAGCCATACCTCACATTCGTTCAAGTCCTATTGGTGTACGTTTTTCAAGCCCTAGCATGACGTAAACTTTTGCAGGCGGAGATTACGCTCGGAAGGTGCGGGGATTTTACAAAACGGGGTGGATGGGAAAAGCGTCTGCCTACGAGGCCGTTTCGTCTCATGGTGGAAAGCGCAGCACAGTTCATCTGATCGTTACACACTCATCCACAGTTCCGCGGAATCGCCTCTCTCTCAACCGTATGGCATGCATGATGGTTGTCCACCACCCCTTTTCTTCGTCGATGCCATGACCGTGTTTGGGACGGGCAGAGAATAGCCGTTGGAGGCACGTTTGCCCTGTCAAATGTGTCACGAGTGAATTCGTTCTCGGTTTCATCGAATGTCGTGTCGATACTTTGGCAAGCTGCCCGAGGGAGAGGCTTCAGCCTACACCTCGGCTTGAAACCAACGCAACGCAATCCCCCTGCCAATTTCGTTGGCTAGTCTTCAGCGTACACAAAGTAGCTGTTCACATGTTCGGTCAAGTGAAAAAACTAGCAGATTGTTAGGTTACTGTATCTTGTAAAACAGTTGCACTTATGAATTTCATGTCAGCTATACAAAGACAACAATACAGAAATATACCTATATGCAATCACACAGTAGGATTTGACATGGACACACCTGTTTTCAAAGAGACTACACAATTCCGGCCATACGAAGAACATGCAGTTCACAAATCAAGCACCAAAATACATGGCCATGAAAAACGGGGAGTGGATGGAGCAGAGAGGAAGCAAGCATCAACTGTAAGTTAATGGTCACCAGGAGCATGGACAGCTGATGACAGCGATATACAGAGCGTTTCAAGCTGGTCCAGTGAGGTGGAAAGTGGTGAAGAGCGGTGCTGGCATCTTATTTGCTGGAGGGAGGCGGCCCTGCAGCCACAGCCGCCACAGCAGCGGCCGCTGCAGCCTCGGCAACGAGATCCTTCCTGGAAGCATCCCACATCTGCTGCTCCAGGTTGAGCTTGCGCACCTCCATCAGCCCGCGCTCCGCTGGTGACGTCAGCATGATGTCAGCAGGATATGGGGGAGTGCAAGTGGGGGAGGGGGAAAAGGGGGGAGGGGGAGAGGAGGGGGTGTTTAGTGGGTGTCATGTGATCCATGTGTGCCAGTCGTTAACGACTAGCCCCTTGACTAACGCACTCTTACACCCCCTTCACTCACCGTCCACAGCATCATAAGCCATGGGCTTCACAGCGCTCCTGGAGATCCAAAACGCCAGTCTCTCCGCTGAGATATCCAGCTCGACCCTGTGGTCCCTCAGTCAGCGTGTGATAATACCTGACCCCCGTCCCTCACCATCCACAGCGTCATGAGCAGTCTGCTTCACAGTGCTCCTAGAGATCCAAGACGCCAGCCTCTCAGCTGCAACATCCGGCTCTACCTTGTGGTCCCTCAGTCAGTCTCTCATGGTACCTCACTCACTCCCCCTGCCCCCCTTGACTCAATGCACACCTGCCTCTTCCCATCCCTTCATCTCACCATCCACAGCACCGTGCGCTGTGGGCTTCACAGTGCTCCTGGAGATCCAGTACGCCAGTCGCTCCGCAGCGATATCCGGCTCCACCTTTTGTAGTCCATCAATCAATCAGTCCCAAGTGACTACCAGCACCCTGAACCCTGCTTCCCACACTCACCGTCCACAGCATCGTGAGCAGTCGGCTTGACAGTGCTCCTCGAGATCCAGTACGCCAGGCGCTCCGCTGCGATGTCCGGCTCCACCTTATGGTCGCGCGCCCGCCGCCACCAGTACACCAGCCAGTTCTGCTTGAACCTCACGTCCTCCACCTCCTCATCGCTCAGGTCTGTTTACAAGGGAGAAACGGAGGGAGGGAGGCTAAGATGCGAGGGAGAGAGGGCAAGAGAACACCTTGTGGTCGCGCGCCTGCCGCCGCCAGTACATGGGCCAGTTGTGCTTGAACCGCCCATCCTCCACCTCGTCATCGCTCAGGTCTGTATGCGTAGAGGGGAAAGGGAAGGAAGGGAGAGGGTAAGAGAACAGCTTGTGGTCTCTCGACTGCCGCCGCCAGTACACGGGCCAGTTGTGCTTGAACCGCCCATCCTCCACCTCGTCATCGCTCAGGTCTGTACGCGTAGAGGGAAAGTGGAAGTGGAGGAAAGGAGTGGGAGTGTGGAACCGCCACCGGTACACGAGCCAGTTGTGCTTGAACCTCACATCCTCCACCTCCTCGTCGCGAAATCTGCGGGGATAGGAGGGAAGCAGGGGAGGCGGAAAGATGCGGGCGTAGAGTGTGGGTGGGGCTACCACCAGTACAGGAGCCAGCTGTGCTTGAACCGCACATCCTCCACCATCACCTTGTCCCTCAGGTGTGCAAGCGAGCGAGAGAGTGGGAAGAATGGGGAGAAAGTGATCGCAACATTCACTTGGAAAACCAAGTGACGAGGACGGAAGGATGTATGAGAAAGCAGCGGGCAGCGAGGTTTGAGCGCGAGGAAAGGCCCACAAACAATTAATAAATGGTGACTTTTAAGTCGGCTCAAAAGTCACCGCGTTACAATGTAACACGACAGGTTTGAGAGAAAGGCAAGGCCCACGAACAATTAGTGCCTGATGTAACGTTTTTGGGAAGGACAGGGGGAAAGAGAAAATAGTAGGTAGAAGAGAAGAGCAGGATAGGAGGAAAGCAGGGGGGGCACCGGGGGAGAAGAAAGGGAAGGGGCGAAAAGGGATGGCGGGAGGAAGGGCAGGGCGACTCACCCATGGATTCGACCATCCTTGGGCCCTCCTCGGCAGCTGCAGACACGAGAGGAAACGAGAGAGGGGGAAAGTGGAAATTAATAGATGAAACAGGCGCGGATAGGGTTAGGAAAGAGCATCATATGTTAAGAAAAGGAGTAGCAAAAATGTGATGGAAAAGTAGGCCACCTGAACCAGCAGAGGCCCCGAGCTCTCCACCCGAAGCTTCACCTGAAGCCCCACCTGAAAAGCAAAGTCTTACCTGAGGGCGCGGAGTGCACTTTGAGCAGCGCCGGGCAGCGGTGCTGCACCATTGCCAGCAGCACGCCCTCCTCCACCATGAGCTCCTTCTCCAACAAGAAGAGAAGTACCTCTTACCCAAAGTATTTTGAGTCGACTCAAAATACACCGCAGAGTATTTTTGAGTCGACTCAATAATCACCCAGTACCACATACCCGAAGGAGCAGAGTGCACTTTCAGGAGCGCCGGGCAGCGGTGCTGCGCCATGGCCAGCAGCACGCCCTCCTCCACCTTCAGCGCGGCCAGCTCCCTGAGCGCTCTTCCCCACCAGATTAACCGCAACCGCACATGAAGCAGCCTCACGGGAAGCAGCCTCCCGTGAAGCAGCCTCACGTGAAGCAGCCTCACGTGAAGCAGCCTCACGTGAAGCAGCCTCACGGGAAGCAGCCTCACGTGAAGCAGCCTCACGTGAAGCAGCCTCACGTGAAGCAGCCTCACGGGAAGCAGCCTCACGTGAAGCAGCCTCACATGAAGCAGCCTCACGTGAAGCAGCCTCACGTGAAGCAGCCTCACGTGAAGCAGCCTCACAGGAAGCAGCCTCACGTGAAGCAGCCTCACGTGAAGCAGCCTCACATGAAGCAGCCTCACGTGAAACAACCGACCCACCTGAAGGAGCAGAGTGCACTTTCAGAAGGGCGGGGCGGCGGTGCTGCGCCATGGCGAGAAGCACGCCCTCCTCCACCTTGAGGGCCGCAAGGTCCCTGAGCGCCTTCTCCACCTGGAACATGCTCTCGATGTTGCTCTCCGTGCCCACCGTCGCTGGCTTGTCCTCTGGAAAGATGGGAGGAGGAAGAGGAGGAGGGAGAAAAGGGGGGTGGGGGGGGGTGGGAGGGGGAGAGACGGGGAAGAGAGACAGGGAATCCGGAAATAGGGTTGGTGATTGTCCGAGTAAAACACCTTGACCTTTCTCCCCCCCATCCACTGCCTCCCTCCCGGTACAAGCCGCACACACCCGCCTTCCCCCATGGTTCCATTTAAGACCCTAACAGTTAAAAACCGCCTCACTTTTCTCCCGACCAGCAGGCTCCTCTCTGTCCTTCCTCCCTGCGCAATCACCACTGTAAAGGAGATACAAGCCCCACACACTCGCCTCCCCCCATCCTTCTACCGTTCCACTCACGACCTGTCTTCGGCTTAACTTTCTTCCCCCAATCTGGCCCCTCCCTGGCCTTCCTTCCACCCAGGGTCAGTGTCCACCTCAAAGGTAAGCACGAGCCTCACACAACACTCTCCCTCCCTCCCACACAACCCTCTCCCTCCCTCCCACACAACCCACAAACCATGACTCGCCCTTTGCCACCTCACCTTTCTCCCCCCCATCGGGCTCCTCCCTGGCCTTCCTGCCCGCGTCGATCACCACCTCGAACGGCAGCGGGGAGTACTTCTGCCAGTGGTCGCTGCGGGAGGACGCGATCTCAGCATGCACGCCTGAAATAGGGCAGGGGGGGTGCGGGGTAGTGGGGGGGGGGAGAGATGTCACATGCACTGATGACCACTTCAAAGGGCAGCGGGGAGTACTTCTGCCAGTGGTCGCTGTGGGAGGAGGCGATCTCAGCGTGCACGCCTACAGTAAAAGGGAAGCAAGGGGAGATATACGAGGGAGTGGGGAGAGATGGGAGGGGAAGAGCGGAGAAGCGTCGATGACCATTCAAAGGGCAGCGGGGAGTGCTTCTGCCAGTGGTCGCTGCGGGAGCTGGCGATCTCAGCGTGCACGCCTGGAGGGAGAGAGAGCGAGGAGGAAGGGGAGAGGCAGGAGGGGATGGAGAGGAAAGACGGGGGAAAGGAGGCACTGAGACATGTTTTTTAGAATTCTCAAAAACCAATCACAGAGCAGAGGAAAAAACAGCCTAGAGGAAGGAAAGACAGCGGAAAAGAGGCACTGGGACATCTGAAGGTGAAAAGGGCCTCTGTGCGTATTAGCACCAGCCAATCACAAGCCGTAGCAGCAGGCAACATGATCTAAGTGATGCACGGCAAAAGTTATACACACTACATACCGTGGCAGGAGGCTAGCGCCCAATAGCGGGTGAGCCAGCAGCGCTTGGGCGCCACCTCCTCCTTCTCCTCTGGAGTCAGCAGGATAACGAGCACTAAAGCTGCCTTTGATTTGAAGCACACACTCAAACAGGCGCAAGACCAAGGGAAACCTACCGTGGCGTGAGGCCAGGGCCCAATAACGAGCGAGCCAGCAGTGCTTGAGCACCACCTCCTCCTCCTCTTGAGTCAGCAGAATGCTTCAATGCACGCAGTGAGACTCTCCCTTTGAGGCGCGCACACACACTCATGCGCGCGCATGCAAGGGGCACACACACACATGACATACCAAGGGGAGCACAACCTACTGTGACACGAGGCCAGGGCCCAATAACGAGCAAGCCAGCAGCGCTTGAGCACCACCTCCTCCTCCTCTTGAGTCAGCAGAATGCTTCAATGCACGTAGTGAGACTCTCCCTTTGAGGCGCGCACACACACTCATGCGCGCGCGTGCAAGGGGCACACACACACATGACATACCAAGGGGAGCACAACCTACTATGACACGAGGCCAGGGCCCAATAACGAGCAAGCCAGCAGCGCTTGAGCACCACCTCCTCCTCCTCTTGAGTCAGCAGAATGCTTCAATGCACGCAGTGAGACTCTCCCTTTGAGGCGCGCACACACACTCATGCGCGCGTGCAAGGGGCACACACACTCATGCGCGCGCGTGCAAGGAGCACACACACACATGACATACCAAGGGGAGCATAACCTACTGTGACACGAGGCCAGGGCCGAATAACGAGCAAGCCAGCAGCGCTTGAGGACCACCTCCTCCGTCTCCTCTGAAGTCAACAGAACGCTAGCAGTGAAGCTGCCTTCCATTTGACACACACTCAGCGCAAGACCAAGGGAAACCTACCGTGGCGTGCAGCCAGCGCCCAGTAACGAGCGAGCCAGCAGCGCTTGAGCACCACCTCCTCCTTCTCCTCTGGGGTGAGCAGGATGCGCGCCGTGAGGCTCTCCCTGTGATCGGAGACACGCAATTACACGTGCAAGGCAATCACACCACAGACCAAGCCACACCTACCGTGGCGGGAGGCCAGCGCCCAGTAGCGCGCCAGCCAGCAGCGCTTGAGCACCACCTCCTCCTTCTCCTCTGGGGTGAGCAGGATGCGCGCCGTGAGGCTCCTGAGCGCCCGCACCTCCTCACTCGCCTGCCGTGCCTCCTCCAGCGCTGCTGCCGCCTCCTCCCTCTGGGACTGGCGTAGGTGCATGGGTGGGTGGGTGGGTGGGTGGGTACAACAACAATAGAGGTACAGTACATACAAGCATTATTGCAGAACGCGCGCCGTGAGGCTCCTGAGCGCCCGCACCTCCTAACTCGCGTGGCGGGCCTTTTTGAGGGCTGCTGCAGCAGCCACCTCCTCCCTCCTCCACTGTGCATGCACACATGCATGCACAGTGGAGCAGGGCGATATGACTTGCATGGTGGGTACACATGCATTGCACTATCTGCTGTGAGGCTTCTCAGCGCCTGCGCCTCCTCACTCGCCTGTGCGGTTTCCTCCATCCAGTTGTGGGTGCAAATAGAAAGGGAGGGGGTGAGGGGGAGGACAGTACGCAAAGGGGCAGTGAAGTTGTGCAAACAAGAGTGTTACACACACACACACAAACACACACAAACTCACTCACTCACTCCCACCCGTGCACCCACCCACATGCCTCCAGCTCCATCCTGAGCGTGGAGATCACGACGCTCAGGATGGAGCTGGAGATACGCTTCCACCTCCTTCACGTCCTTGGACTTGTCCGAGGAGTCTATTTTTGAGGCGCCTCAAAAATAGACTCCTCAAAAAAATTTAGACGCCTCAAAAATAGACTCCTCAATTTTTTTGAGACGCCTCAAAATGCTCCTAATTTTTTTTTAGGCGCCTCAAAAATAGACTCCTCAAAAAAATTGAGGCACCTAAAAAATAGACGACTCAATTTTTTTTAGGCGCCTCAAAAATAGACTTGTCCTTCATCTCCTTACAACTCCTTTCCCACCTATGCGTGTCTACGAGCACCCACCCATGCACCCACCCATGCATCCACCCATGCATCCACCCATGCGTGTATACGAGCACCCACCCGTGCATCCACCAACGCACCCACCCGTACACCCACCCGTACACCCACCAACGCACCTCCAGCTCCATCCTGAGCGTGGTGATCTCCACCTCCTTCACGTCCTTGGACTTGTCCTTCATCTCCTTTAGAGTCGCCTGCGATACCCCGCACAAGCACGCAGGCGAACCACAGACACGGTGGAGAAACCGTCCAAAGAATAAGACACAACAATACAATCAGCTTAAAACACATCAGTTTCAACACGAAGCTTCGTATCAAAAGCAGGGACAAAATAATCGCGTGGCACAAACAAGCATGGTTAGCATATCATGGTTACCAAAGAAAGGCTACCAAAGCATGGTTACCAAAGAATGGTTACCAAAGCATGGTTACCTCGCGCTGCTTGAGAACAGCCTCCTTCCTGCCAGGGTGGAGAGGGGTTAGAGGGGGTGAGAGGCGGTGAGAGGAGGGAGGCGAGGAGGGAGCAGAGTGACGATGTGCAGGCCGACAACGCGCTAGTGATTTGGTCCAATGCTTGAGGCACCTCAATAGCAGACGAGTTAATCGCCCAAGAGAAGAGTGCAGCAAACGGAATAGGAAGTGGGACTGGGAGCAAGGCACACGACACGACCACAACAAAAACCAAGAAAAGGCGGGCAGGTTCGGGAGAGCAAAGGAGGAAGACGGAGGGAGGAACGGGGACAGGGGGGGGGGATTCAGAAAGATGTGAGAAGGCGGAAAGACAAGGGCTCACTTGTTGAGAAGGCGTGCCTCAAGGCTGAGCCCTTCGCCCATCTTAGCCACCTGCAGGGGGGAAGAGAGAAGATGCAGGAAAACGGTGAAGCAGGAGAGACGATTCGGGACGTGTGTCTGGGCTTTGACGGGTGGCGTGGTGGTGGTGGTATCACAGATAACCGTTGGTAGAGACTAGAGAGTGGTTGAGAGTGGTTGAACGGTGGGAACTAAGGGCTTGAAAAGTCAACACCCACACAGACGAAGGTGGCTTGATTCTAACCATTCACCTGCCACAACCTTCCTTTCCCCCTTCTCCCCGCCCCTCCCCCACTTCCCCCCCCCCTCTCCTCCTCCTTCCCTTCCCCCACCTGCTTCTCCAGCTCTTGCCCGTGCAGCCCAGAACAAGCCAATCTCTCCTTTAGCCCCCATCCCCCCCTCCCCCCTCCATCCACCCCCCCCGCACCTGCTTCTCCAGCTCCTGCATGCACAGCCCGGAACAAGTCTACCTCTCCTTTTCCCCCCGTCCCAAACACACCACCCACCCCCCCCCCCCCCCGCACGCACCTGCTTCTCCAGCTCCTGCACGCGCGCCTGCTTCTCCTTGAGGTCCTCCTCCGCCATGCGCAGCTGCACAGGGGGGTATGGGGGCGGCGGGTGGGGGTGGGGTTGGGGGGGGGGGGGGGGGGGGGGGGGGGGGGGGGGGGTTTGTTGGAGGGAGGAGAAGACGAAGAAGACAGGGAAAAGGGGGAAGCAGAGCCTGCTTTTCCTTGAGGTCCTCCTCCACCATGCGCCGCTGTGCGGGGGAAGGGGGGAAGGGAGAAAAGGGGTGGGGTTAGGGGTGGGGGGGTAAAGGGGACAAACGAGTGAGATGGGGAGAGAGGAAAGCAGTGCCTGTTTCTTCTTGAAGTCCTCCTCTGCCATGCGCAGCTCTGGGTGGGAAGGGGGGGGAAGGGGGAGGGCAGTGTTAAAAAGGGCGGCAGGGTGAGAGGTGGAAAAGGGCAGCACATATCAGGGTGCCGTGCCATGGTTGATCGTCCTGCGCAATGCACAACCACGATTTTGCAGGGTGTTTTTGATTTGAGAATTCTCAAAAACATCCAGTGCCATCCATGCACAGCCACGGATAGAGGGAAACGGGTAAGAAGAAAGTACGGGCAACAGGAAGTAAAAATATTAGAGCACCAACCCACCCAGGCTCTTCCCTATGAGCGGGGCACCTTCTTTCCCATAACATCACACACCCATCACCACCCGCCGCACCATCTCCATAACACCCATCCCTTCCCTTCCCTACCCTTGCACCTTGCCCCTTGCATTCCATCCCCCCTTTGCCCCGACCTCATTGTCAACCTCCCCCCATAAGCTCACCTTATCCACAAGAAACTCGTTTTCCTCTGTAAGCACATCCAGCTGGAGAGAGGAAAGAGAAAGGGGAGGGTGGAAGGAGGGGGGAGAGGAGGGGGGGGGGGCGGGGGAGGGGGGGGGGCAGAAGGTTGGGTTGGAGGGAGGGGGGGGGAAGAGACACGGAATGAGAGTTGATGTTGGCAAAGAGAACGGGATGCTTGTTTGTTCCCACAGCTGTTGTGCATGATAAAATATTATCTGACGGCCTTAGAGGGATCAATTCCTGTTTCTCCAGTTACAAGAACCACGTCATGTCAGCTGGGAGCCTGGGATCAGCCTCGCACAGGTCGACTTCAGCAACGGTCTCACATCGTCCAGTTTTGAGCAACGGTCTCACATCGTCCAGTTTTGAGCAACGGTCTCACAGCGTCCAGTTTTGAGCAACGGTCTCACATCGTCCAGTTTTGAGCAACGGTCTCACATCGTCCAGTTTTGAGCAACGGTCTCACATCGTCCAGTTTTGAGCAACGGTCTCACAGCGTCCAGTTTTGAGCAACGGTCTCACATCGTCCAGTTTTGAGCAACGGTCTCACATCGTCCAGTTTTGAGCAACGGTCTCACATCGTCCAGTTTTGAGCAACGGTCTCACATCGTCCAGTTTTGAGCAACGGTCTCACATCGTCCAGTTTTGAGGCGCCTAGTTTTGAGGCGTCTAGTTTTGAGGCGCCTAGTTTTGAGGCGCCTAGTTTTGAGGCGTCTAGTTTTGAGGCGTCTAGTTTTGAGGCGTCTAGGTTTGAGGCGCCCAGTTTTTAGGCGCCAGTTTTGAGGCGCCTAGTTTTGAGGCGCCCAGTTTTGAGGCACCCAGTTTTGAGGCGCCTAGTTTTGAGGCGCCTAGTTTTGAGGTGCCTAGTTTTTAGGCGCCCAGTTTTGAGGCGCCTAGTTTTGAGGCGCCTAGTTTTGAGGCGAGTTTTGAGGCGCCTAGTTTTGAGGCGCCTAGTTTTGAGGCGCCCAGTTTTGAGGCGCCTAGTTTTGAGGCGCCTAGTTTTGAGGCGCCTCAAAACTAGACTTCAGCAACGGTCTCACATCGTCCGTCCTTGAGCTTGGCTCACTCGCGCTTGATTGCCTCCATCTCCTGCCGCAATGCTTAAGCTCCGCTCGTACATTGTCACGCACTTGCTTGCAGCAAGTACCTTAAGCTCTGCTCATACTCACATCGTCCTTGAGCTTGGCTGACTCGCGCTTGATTGCCTCCATCTCCTGCCGTAACGCTTAAACTCCGCTCGTACATTGTCACGCACTTGCTCGCAGCAGGTATCTTAAGCTCTGCTCATACTCACATCGTCCTTGAGCTTGGCTGACTCACGCTTGATTGCCTCCATCTCCTGCCGTAACGCTTAAGCTCCGCTCGTACATTGTCACGCACTTGCTTGCAGCAGGTATCTTAAGCTCTGCTCATACTCACATCGTCCTTGAGCTTGGCTGACTCGCGCTTGATTGCCTCCATCTCCTGCCGGGATGCTCCTGAATCCCTGCCAGTGTGAGAGGAGAGGTGCAGAGAGGTGGAGACGGGTGGAGAGGGGTGACAAGATGCCTGATAGCCTCGATCTCCTGCCGCGATGCTCCTGAATCCCTGCCAGTGCAAGAGGACAGGTGCAGAGGGGTGGAGACGGGTGGACAGTGGAGAGAGGGCGGAAGGAGAGAGGTGGGGAGAGGTGAAGTGAGGTGGATAGGGTGCCATGCCCACTCACCCTCGGTTCAGGTTCCCCATGGGTCAGGCGCGTCATGCCCCTACCCACACACGTGCATGCATTTCACATCTATCGCATGCGAACACACATACGTGCATACACACATGCGCCTCTGCGTGGCATACGTGCATACACACATGCGCCTCTGCCTGACATACGTACATACACACATGCGCCTCTGCCTGACATACGTACATACACACATGCGCCGCTGCCTGACATACGTACATACACACATGCGCCTCTGCCTGACATACGTGCATACACACATGCGCCTCTGCGTGGCATACGTACATACACACATGCGCCTCTGCCTGACATACGTGCATACACACATGCGCCTCTGCCTGACATACGTGCATAAACACATGCGCCTCTGCCTGACATACGTGCATACACACATGCACCTCTGCCTGACATACGTGCATACACACATGCGCCTCTGCCTGACATACGTGCATACACACATGCGCCTCTGCGTGACATGCATGCATACACGTGCGCATCTGCCCGTGCACCAACCCATACACACACGCACGCGAATGCGCATACAAACAGGCTACACCCCATCCATCACACCCACGCAAGCGGCATGCATCCATCCATCCACCACACCGCAACCCCACATACAGGGTGTTTTAGATAAGTCTAAAAAAACCCCGTACGTGCGCCGCCCCATGTCACAGCCGCTTATGTCTCCCCCCCTCCGGTTCGGGCCCCAATACACACACGCGCATAGACACATCCATGTGCCCCATGCATGCACCACACCCCCACGTACGTCCCGTCGCCCCATGTCGCATCCACCCATGCTTCCCCCCCCCTCGGTACGGGTCCCAATGCACACACGCACACACACACACACACACACCCAAGACATCCATGTGGCCCATGCATGCACCACACCCCCACCCACGTACGTGCGTCGCCCCATGTCGTAGCCGCCCATGCCTCCCCCCCCTCGGTACGGGTCCCCCATGGGGTCAGGCGCGTCATACCCGCCCCCTGCTGGCCGCGAGCGTCCCATGGCTCCTCCCGAGGGGGGCTGGCGCATTCCCCCGGCGGACCTGGGGAGCTGGGGATGGGGGGGGGAGGGAGGAGGGAGTGAGGGTGGAGTCTCAGAACTGGGCGCATCATAAGCCAACGCAACCCAAATGAGACATCTCGCCATGTAACTGTAACCATGTAACCACATCGTCATGCCGTACGTGCATGGTAACCCTCCCCATTTCGCTCGAACCTAACTAGCCAGCAGACGAGCGGGGTTTCATTTCAGCTCACCCTTGACGAATCAGCGACATGACATTCGAGTCACCCGCCCTTGTGAGTCGGCTTTAAGTCACCTCATTTCGCTCTAACCCAACTAGCAGACGGTTTCACCCTGGGCTAGTTGGGTAAGGGCGAACCAATCGGCCTTTAACACAACTCACCCTTGACAAATCAGCGAGGTAACTTTCGAGTCGACTCAAAGTCACCTCATTTCGCTCTAACCGAACTAGCAGACGGTTTCAGCTCACCCATCATGACAAATCAGCGACGAATCAATCGCCAGGCATTGACCTGAACCTAACGCGGAGGCGTTGACCTCAATATACCGTCATTGACCTCAGTATACCGTCATTGACCTCAATATTCCGTCGTTGACCTCGCTGTACTGCCGTTGACCTCGCTGTACCGTCGTTGACCTTGTGTGCCGTCGTTGAACCTATCTTCACCGAATGCTGACGTCAGCTTGCCATTCTCGACCTGAGCGCATTATCTCGTCGTCCTAAGCATTACCAGCGTTAATCAGTGCGTGTACTTTATCTCTAACATAAATTTACACGGACGGCCATGACCTATCAAATCGTTCAGCTAAGTGAATGCCTCATATCAGAACCATAAAAGGCCGTGCCAATGGAAAGGAGCTCTCGCCCTGTCTGTCTGTCTGTCCATGTCACTCCAAAAATCATTGGAACATACAGTGGCAGTAATGTCGAAAGAGACAATGCTGATGCCGCATCCTCGATATCCGTTACTGTGCTCCTGGCGTATTACGATAGGCGGGCTCACACTATAACTCGCACCTGACTGCCGTAATCGTCGGGGGATCCGTCCGACGTGCTCCAGGCACACCTCGATAGGCCGTGTACCATATGGCAGCAGGCACAGACAGACACACGCGAACACACCCGAACACGAGTGAACGCACGCTAACGCGCACCTGGCTGCCGTAATCGTCGGGGGATTCGTCCGACGTGTTTGACATCAGCGCGCGGAGCCGCTGCTGCGCCTGGAGCGCCGCATTGCTGCGCGAAGAGGGTCCGCCCGGCCCCTTCCCCGCGCCCGTTGCTGCCCCCGCTGGCGCGCCGTAGCGGCCTGACCGCGTGCCATAACCTCCGGGTCGCGACGGTTGCATGGCCGCGAGTGGAGATTATGACGGGAAACTATTACTGAGAAACAATGCAGAAATGACCTAGTTCTTTCTTCGTGCGAGTACACTGGCGTTTTCTAGGGTCGACGCCAACTGACCTTGGGAAACGTACGCAGAGCAAATTCCCTTCACGCGGCCCTCGCGGGCGTTCCTGAGATTACGCAGTGTCAGGTTACGCTTCTAGGGACTGCGAATATCTAGGTAAAGCATGATCTGCGGGGGAAGCGACAGCGTGACCCTGAGGGAACCTCGAGATTGGTTTGTTGGGCTGATGACGATGGGGATGATGGTTTGACCCAGGTGGTATTGGCGAAGGAAAAATCGTGTAATCGTAACCTTTTGAAATGTAAAAAGGGTACCCATTAAAAAAACAATTGATAAATTTAACAATCGACCCATGATAAACTGAAAACTTACCATTTTCGATTCAGTTCCTTTGATTATATTCTATCATTGCTTTTTTCTAACTTCCATTCAATTTTTTCGTTGTATAAAGATGTGGTTATTTGTCACATGGGGATTGATTTCGCTTCCTTGGCAATCCTTCATTCCTGACCTACCCTATTATAATAAATTAAATCATGTTGAAGTATACTGGTTTACTTCAATAAACCATGGGTCTTTCCTCGATCAGATGATACAATTTTCAGCTGTCTGAATCTCACATAGATGTAATGGGTATCAAATGATAAGGAAATGGTATTTCCTGTCGTGGCACTGGGATAACCCTATCGATCCTCTCTCTCTCTCTAGGGAGGGTACTGGGGAGGCTTTCCCCGGGGAAGGTGGATATATGGAGCCTAACCCTCCTGACGACATCCCTTCTTGTCCCAGTGGTTAGGACTGGTGACTTTATAGCATGGTGTCACAGCCATCCGGAGTTCAATTCCTGGTGTACACGCTGTCCCAGCGGGGGGGGTGTGTCGTGGCACTAGGATAACCCTGTCGATCCTCTCTCTCTCTCTCTAGGGAGGGTACTGGGGAGGCTTTCCCCGATGAATGTGGATATACGGAGCCTAACCCTCCTGATGACATCCCTTTTTGTCCCAGTGGTTAGGACTGGTGACTTTATGACATTTCCTTATCACGGATTTTAGTCAACAAGGGGTACACTGCTATAACAGGGTTGCCGCGCAGCTCTGCCACGAAATTCAAATAGCGGTCCCAAATGCGGTCTCCTGACGAGCCGCATGCATTATTGTCCGCCTTGCTGTTGCATGCCTAGATTTGGGCGCTTCGCGCCAATTTACGAACCACACGTCGCAGCTCTGCCCAACCACAACCGTGTGCTCCTAGGCTAGCTATATCCATGCTCCCTTTTGTTTTTGAAATAATTTGAAAGGTGGTGCAAGAGACTAAGTATAGAATCTGCAGACACAAGTACTTGAAGTAGAAAGTAATACTGGAATTACCTCCAGTAACAGCCAGTATCAACAAGTTGTAATACCAGAGTGAATGTTACAGCCTTGTGATACTTCAAGACTTGAACAAGGATCTTTGCTGGAATGGTAGACTAGTAAGACAGCGAAAGTCTTAGAACTTGTAAGTGTTGACCAGAATTTTCTCAAGAACAAGTTAATAACTGGAGTTGTACAAACTACTTTTATATATGCTAGAAGTACCTATTCTGTAATGTACCTGTTCAAAACTATTTGCGCTATGCGCTCTAACCGCTACAGAAAAGAGCGCGACTGTTCGCGTGACTAAAATGGCCTAAAGACGTAATCATCAAGACGAGCGCTATTTCCTGACGTCATTCTACGGATGCTAACTACAGTGTAACTCGACAATATCTATCGAAACTACTTACAGAAATGCTAAAGTACGATTTTACCACAACACTCCCCTTCATTTCTGGAAGTTCGATAGTGTCACTTTTTGATAATTCCGCAGAGTTCGTTGCAGTACTGGAACTTCTAACGTGTCAGCTTCTTGGTGAGAAAATCTGCAGCCATTTCATTGGTCGAACATTAGACCAATCGCATTCTCCCCTTCTCGACTTCATCTTTGACGAAGAAATACCGCAATGAAATGTTTTTCGTCCTGTTGGCGAAACCAGGTTGATGCGCAATTCTGATTGCACTTTGGTTGCCGCACTACAGGGTGAACTGTGTACTTGTCGTTAATTTTGCTTCCTCCAGTAGCTCTTGCAGATAGAGATCTTCGCGAGTAGCTGTGCAGGCAGCTATAAACTCGGCTTCAGCGGATGATAGAGCTACGAGCTCTTGCTTTGTAGAATTCCACGAGATAGTCCCAATAGGTTCGAGACGATAGATGAAGCCGGTGCGAGATCGACGATTAGAAGTATCTGCTGCATGATCAGCATCGACGTATCCGTTAAGATATAGAGTTTTCGTAGTAGTGACTTGGTAGGTAAGTCTGACTTCAGGTGTCGAAATAAAATATTGTAGAGCGCGAAGAAGATCTAGCCAATTCTCCCCCTCAGGTCGACGCAGAAATTGCGCGAGCTGGCTAGCGGCATAGGCGAGATCCGGACGACACGTTACAGCTGCGAATACAAGACAACCCATTTGCTGTTGAGAAATCTGTAGTTCAGTGTTATCAAGTTGAGTAGTATCAGGTTTGTAGTCTGTCGGTAGAGATCGGTAAGGAGTGGTTACAGTTGAAGCTGTGAGATTAATACGTGCAGCTAGCGTAGCTGCGTACTTAGAAGCTGTAAGATGAATAGCAGTTGCTGTTCGGTGGATGTTAAGGCCGAGGAACTGTGTGACTGTAGGAGTGATAGTGATGTGTAGATTCTGTTGGAGTTTCTGTTCGAAGACAGTAGCGAGAGAATCGGTGGTGCTGATGTAAAGTAAGTCGTCGACGTAAGCGACGAGTAGAACGTAGTCAATACCATCGGTAAGTAGATACATTCCTTGGTCATGTGGAAGCTGACAAAACCCGGCAGTTAATAGTTGATGATATAGATACTGCTGCCATAGTCGTGGAGCCTGTTTGATGCCATAGAGAGACTTTCTGAGATGGCATACGTTGGGAGGATTAGTTTCGTAAGAATGCGGGTACTCAACCAGAATTAAGGCATCGGCAGGTGCATATAAAAATGCATTGGCGACGTCGATTTGTCGAAGTCTGAAGTTCCGGTAGGCCGCAATACATAAGATGATTCGGACAATAGTGTGTTTGCCGACGGGAGCGAAAGTTAATTCGTAGCCGAGTCCAAAAGTTTGCTCGAAGCCGCGGACGATCCATCACGCCTTGAATTTTTCAAAGGAGCCATCGGCGTTTGTCTTCACGCGGAAAAACCATTTTCCGGTAAGAACCTTACACCCCTTTGTTGCTTTCAACGGGATTAGATCCCAGGTACCTCTCTTTTCCAGAGCTGCTAATTCTCGGTCCATGGCTTTGCGCCATTTTTCCCGGTGTTGACTTGTCAAAGCTTGACGAACTGTTTTCGACTCCAAAATCTTACTGCTGTTTTCCTGTACTGCAATTGCTAGCCAATACTTGTAAACCAGTTTCTGTAAAACGCGGACGATTTGAGTTGACACCGGAGAAGTTGTGTTTTGACCCCTGTTACCCCCCAACTTCTTCAGGTGTTACACGGATTGCTGCTTTGGAGACAACTGGCATGGGCTGCTGCTGACGATCACGTTTGTAATCAAGAACCACATCGCGAACATCTTCGGAGTCTGCTTCGCCGAGTGGGATAAATTCGGCAGTTCCAGTTGACGTGCTTGGCATGGGGATGTCTGTGACAGCTTCGGAAGACTCAGCGACAGATTCATCCTGTACATCTGCTTCGGCCTCGTCAGAAGCGAAAGCATGTGAGCCTTCGAACAGCCTGGCAGGATTGGCAGCTGCAGCCTAGTGAGCACGAAAAACAGGTAAGGTGAGTCGTTCGTAGAAAAGACAATCACGTGATGCTACAATTTGAGTCGTGCGAAGATCCATAATTGTCCACGCGTAAAACTGCTTCTCGATACCAAGATGTATTCCCCAAATAGCCCGTTCTGAAAAATTCCCAAGTGCTGCGGTCGGAGGTCGATATTGAACGGTGCACCCAAAAACTCTTAAAAATTTGGTGTTGCCGACTGTTTTTGTCCACAACTTGGTGTGGCGAAGAAAATTGTGGAAGTGAATTTGTTGACAGCAAGTTGTGCAGAAGAACTGCATGGTCCAAAGCGTAACTCCGAAAATGTGGTGGCAATGCTGCATGAGTCAGCAAGACTCGCATTTTTTCTTGCAACGTCCTGTTCATCCGTTACGCTACCCCCATCTGTTAATGTTGATTTGGCAGAGACCCTCTGTGCTTGATGCCTAGGGTTTGACGATAGTCAGTGAAGTTGGTGTTCGTGTACTCCCCTGCTCCGTCATCGCGAAATTCTTGGAGCTTCTCCACCGACTCTCTTTCAGCCACAGCGAGCCACGCGACGAAAATAGAGTGAGCCATATGACGAGCCGGAATATTTGTCGTCCAAACATATCGAGTAGAGGCCTCGATGAAAGAGATCATATAGAGCTCCCCCTTAGGTCCTGCTTCAGGTAAGTTAAGGGTGTCGTTGTAAACTTTCAACATAAGTGTGTATCGAGTTGATCCTGGAAAGTGACTTGGAAAGGGTTCGTGAGGAAGATTAGCAGTTGTGCATGTGGTGCAGACTGCTGGTTGTGAAGACGGTTTCATCTCAGTTCCATCCGGTAAGAGTAAACTGTTCTTGTCAAGAACTGAAGCTCGTATAGTATGATTAAGAATTCTCAGGGATGGATGACCTAACCTTTGATGCCAAATATCCTCTATTGCTTTGTGTCCTGTTGACCGCAAATAAAAATTGGTGTTAGTATAAAATGAAGAAATGATAATAGGAGAAAATGCTGGTGATTCGTCAAGTTGTCCAGGAACGAAGCGGGTAAGCGGTAACTTAGTGGTTGTAATTTCCACATTGAGAACTTCTTCTGGTTGAAGAACTAATTCTCCTTCTTCGATTTCTGTTTCTGTTGAATCCGCTGCAAGTTGACCAACGAGAACCCCTGTGTCTGCTTCACTGCTACTCTGCTGCTCTGCTTTCTCTGCTTCACTGCTGTTGCTGGGTCCCTAAGGTACTGCAGGTTTGTTTTCAAGTTGTTGTAAAGTGTTATAATAGTTCCGCCACGCTGATGTATCGTCTTCGGCTGTGTTTGTTGGCCAGGAATCAAGAGCCGTTATAAGTGCTGCGGCTGTACGAGATCCCATGGGAAGTGCAATTGCACGGAAGTCTATATCAACCTTCTGAAAATCAGTT